TTTTGCAGGATAGTCCTATGGAGAAGTCAACTTCTTCCCAGTAAATTCTTACCAGTTCTTTATATATTGTTGATAACAGTAGTGAGTGACATAGGTTATTTTCTACTACATGCATATGCCATCTTACATCTTTGCCACCAAATATAAAATTTATGTTTATTTGATTACATCTGCTATCAAGTCTGCTCCCTGTCCTAACCAGCATTGCAGTATGTCCTGAGTTCCCCTGTTGTTTATATGCATTTGTTTTCTCTTATCTGATACTTCTGCATCTCTGTCTGTTTGCATTAACTTGTTTTCTTTTCTCTTATGTAATTAATTCCTTTGGAAGGAGCTCTCAGTTTTGTTTATGTTGATGCTACATCTAACACTGTATTATTCTGGTACAGAACTAGGAATCCCACAGCCCTATGGTAATACAAACAGTGTATTAAATGTGCCACTATACCACCTACTGCTTTATTTAAAAGCTGGTTTAGACAGCAGTCTGAACTGATACTGAGTATCCACATTCCCCACCACCACCACCATGTCATTTTCAACTGCCTTTCATGTTACTATCTGCTCTTCTTGTCTTTGATTTAAAATCCTATTTTAGAGTAACATATTCATTAGCCTTTTTCAAGTAGAAAATGAGAATATTGACTGGATTATTTATGTTATATTCATGTTCAATTTTTACTAGATGAGTTAGTCTGCATTATTGATGCAGATAATAATACAAAATTTGTTAAAAATAATATTTTCCTTCTGAAAACAAGATAAATGAAAGCAGGAATGGACCTTTATTTCATTATAGCTATTTTTAATCTAGGCTTTTATTGTGGATATTTGTTTTTCATGCGGTAACGTACAAAATATATGTATAAACTGAACAAATATTTTGTGATTATAAAAATATGCAGTAATTAAGTATTATTCTTGTATATTTTTTAAAGTTTATGAAGAATTTAAAATGAATGATTATTTAATCTGCTTTAACCCCTGTAATTTTCATTAAGAAGCAGACACTCGCTGCACTCTGGGCCACAAGATGGCAGCACGGAATAGATACAAAATAGCAGTTCGAGAGTTTGAACTTGCTCAATCTAAACAAAACTAACAAAACCCACACGTTTTTGTCCACGAAATAGGAAAATTAACAAAAGTTGAACTCTTTCAAACAAAATTTATTAGTTAGCCATCAAGTGTTTAGTTCAACTCCCAGATTTATTCTATCCTTCCCCAGGACTGCTTGGAAAAAATTTGCAAATGTAATTTTTTTCCATCTATTATTAAAAAGGGGCCCCAATTTATTTTCATGTCATTGTACCTAAGAAGTTAAATTATTTGTCGGAACAAATCTAGTTAGTTTTTCTTTTCTTTTTCTTTTCCAAAAAAAAATTGCTGAAAAAATATTCTGCAACATTATTGACAAGCAAAATTGTGTATTTAGAACTTGCATTTAGAGATCAATAAGCTGCCAAGACTTTATGATGCAGTTACTGGGCCTAAATGATTCTACTTATGGGAATTTTCAGACATTAAACTGCTTTAAATATGAGGTATCAAAAGACTAAAATATTTTGGAGCTTTAGTGTGTTCAGTTACAAGGTTGTAAATCCTTTCTGTTCAGTAAGTGCATCAGATGCCAATGGCTCGGGTACTTGCTATGGGCTGGGTGAACCAGATATAACAATTTCCCAACAAACAAGCAACCTGGCATATAAGAGGTTTCAGTGGTCCTATTTATCATATTGTTTATCTAAGCATTTGGGGAAAGAATGCAAAAAGCTTCTAAAGAAGCTGTTAGGTGGCTTTATTTTCTGAATTGTTAAAAATGAAGGAGTCCTGGCTGAGACTGGGTTTGAGTTAATTACTGGGATTGTGCTTCAGGTTTAATTTGAATATGAAACTACCCCTGAAATCCACTCTAGTAAATAAGCTGCTTTGTAGTTTTCATGCTTTAGCTTATATGCACAAAATTCCAAAGCTAGTACAAGTTAGGGAAATGTGGTGACACAGCTGAGGACATGGAACTGTTCAAACATCATCACTTACCCCTGCTGGTGGAAATGAGAGAGAGAGATAGGGAGAGAGCCATGAGAGGATGCTGCACACAAGGGAAGGGAAGCTGCAGGTTCCAAGGAAGTTCTGTTACATCTACCAGGTCATGAGCTGGGAATATATTTGCTTATAGTACCAGCAGTGAACCAAACAATCTTATTCTAAATGTCTCTCCTTCCCTTTTGATTCAGAAATTATGCAATCATTTTCAGAAAGTTGTTCAAGTCCCTTTTTAGCAGTGCCTTGTTATAAAAGGCTCATAGACCATGTGCACCACTGTACAATCATCTTTAAAAATCATAGTGAAATAATTTTTTCATGGAGATGCCGCAACACAGTGAAAAGACACTGCTCAATACCTCGAGTCCTTTGTCCAGTTCTGGGCCTGCCACTTCAAGAAAGACATTGAGGTGCTGGAGCGTGTCTGGAGAAGGGGAATGAAGCTGGTGAAGTGTACAGAAAATGTCTTATGAGGATGCAGCTGGGACAGCTGGGGTGTTTGGCTTTGAGGAGTCTCAGGGGAGACCTTATTTCTCTCTACAACTCCTTGAAAGGAGATTGTAGCCAGGTGGGGGTCAACCTCTTTTCCCAGGCAACCAGACAGGAGGAGAGGAAGTGGCCTCAAGCTGTGATTGGAGATGTTCAGGCTGGACATTTGGAAGAATTTCTTCACTGGAAGGGTTGTCAACCATTGGAACGGGCTGCCCAGGGAGGTGGTGCAATCACCATCCTGGGAGGTGCTCAAGAAACAACTGGATGTGCCCCTTAGTGCTGTGGTTTATTTGACAAGGGGGTGTTCAGCCACAGGTTGGACTCCATCACCTTGGAGGACTTTTCCAACCTCAATGATTTTATAATCCTATGATTTAATGAGCAGATACTGTGAAAGGAAGGCAGCTGCTAGGCACAATGTTTTGAAGAAAATAGTCATGTAAATCTTGAGTGGTTCTACCACCATACTAAAAATGGTAGCATACAGCTCTATGGCATCTGTGTGCAGTACATATATATATATATATATATATATATACACACAGATGGAAGAAAAACACCTGAACTTGGTGACTGCAGAACCCCTAGAGATGATGACTCTTAGGCAACATAACTTAATGTTGAGACAAGGTTGAATTTGCAGAGCTGTTATTTCCAGAAAAAGAAAAAAAGGAAAAAGAACAAATGTATCTGTCTCTACTAAAATGTGATAAATGGGACATGTCTAGTGTCCATTTCTAATATGTCATTTTCCAAATTAAACTTGGCATCGTTCCATTTCCTTGGGTTTTCTTGAGAAATTATTTTATAAAAGTATATCTATTTGTCTTTCAAATGATCCAGTAAAAAGCATATTTCATACTTAATGGAGATGGAAACCTCCTGTAATGTGCAAAAGTACTAGACAGATAGAATGACAAAAAACAGCTCATAAATAAACCAGCTGGCAAAATAGCATCATCAAAGAGATAAATTAGTTGAGCTAGCATTTGATGAAAGATATATCCTTTTCAGAAAAATATGTTTTTTTAGCCATTTATCTGCATCACTGGTAGATTAAGAACTAACAATTCTTGACATGAAAGAAATACAGAAGCTCTCTCACATAAACACATTGCAAATAACCTGACAATCTTCTGTTATACAGAATACTCTTCCATTTAGTTATTCTTCACTTGTACCTCTTCCCTTTATAGCTCCCAGACACCTTTACCTTGCTCCATTTATTCAGCAGCTTTTGCTTTTTATTTTATATTCTTCATTCTTGCTCTTCACTGTCATTTACAACCATTTACCACCACCAAAACAATCTGCTCCCCCATCAAAAACAACCTACAGTTGCTAGAAAATCTAGTCTACAGCCATTATGTTAACTAAATGCAAATGCTTTTTTAATATATATTTTCATTGAATATATTTAATTAATATGAACTCTTTGTATGTGTTTAGCTTTTACTGCATTATCTGAATGTTTGATGTCATTCACCTTTGTGTGAGGTAGTTCCTCAATGTCCTATTAGTGCTGGCCACATTCCTGCATTGCCTTACTGTGCCTTTCAGGATACATCTTTTTCAAGGTACAAGTGTATGCCAACTCTTTGGGATACCCATATTCCTGTGGCACAGTGTATTCACATTCAACTGCAAACTGTGCTTCTTTGAACACAGCCTGTTCAGAAAACTTTTAATAGTAAAGTTTTATGTATTGCAGCTATGTAAGCAGTTATTTGGAAATTTAATATGCTATAAGTACAAAATAATGCTTTATACAAATCTGGTACTTTTCACCTGAAAAGTCAAAGATCTCTACAAACAGCAATAAATTGTAAATGGTTATGAATACTGTGAATTACATGTTATATTCATGTTATGAAGAATGTGTTATATAAGTAAAGTTAATTGTTCAGCACAGGAAATGAAAATTTCATGTAGTAGATCTAAGTTACCTTTTTTTTTTCTGCTGCAACAGAAATATCGTTATGTGTATGTCTTGAAGTCACCAGTCAATTCTTTTAACATTTCAGATGCCTTACATTGTTTCCTAGTCAGAATATTATTTTCCCATTATAATAATTTCTCTCATGAAATGAATGTATAACAAATCAGTATGCAGAAATTTATACAATGCCAAGTTATTTGTCAGCCTACAGGTTTCTCCATTGTTTTGTTTGTTCTGGCTCTAGCATGTGGGGAGACAACAGTGCTGGAGACCTGACCTAGGACCAGTAGATTAGGAAACAGTCTGAATCCTGTCAGTTCTCCTCATGACTTACAAACACCATGCCAGGTATCTAACTATACATTCACAAATCATTTTAGCCATTTGTGTGGTTGCTCAAGCAGTGATTAATAAAGTGATCACAGTTTAGCTGCTAGTGTACTCTGATTTCCTTTGCTATGTTTTGGTGCATCAGTAAGTAGCTCCTTTCAAACTGCAGGTCATACCAGACAGTAGCAAATGCCTTGGGATACCTGTATTGTATTTATAAATTTCAATTTCTTATTACAAGTCCTAAAAAAGTAAAAAAAAAAAAAAAAATTTCAAACAAAATGAACAGAAACAAACCACATTAAAACATTGTATTTAATCTTTGGAGTGTAAAATATTGTAACATTACTGCAACTTATTATCCAAAATCAAATCATTACAAACCCAAGAAAATGAAACTACTAATAATTTTAAAAATGGACCTAGAATAGTACTTGATACCCCCTTCACCAATAATAACATCCAACCCTTCCAAATAAAGCAAGCCTATTGTTTACATGACACAAGGCCAAGTAGAGCTAGCTGAGGTACTGCAAAGCCTCACAACTGTTAGGCCAGGCTTCTCACTAAGCCAGACCTGGGACTCCTCAAGGCTATTCCTTCCTGTGCTTCTGGCTTATGCAACCCACAAAAGTCAAGGTGGTGCCATAGCACAGCACTAATTTAGACAGTATTGATTTTCAGATGTTTCAGTGATGACAGTAGAAAATAATAAGAATAAAAGGATCATCAATTTGCTCCTGTACTACTCGTACTACTCAGTTTTATTTCCAACTTTACACAGTTTAGAGAAGGAGAGATCACAAAATATTAATAATATTTCAAATGTGTAACTATTAAAAAAAAACCTATCTACATTAAAAATATTCACAAAGCTTTTACCTTTTACAATATTCTTCAATGTTTGTCTTTCTAAGGGTGTGCCATTTCTGTTTCTATTTGTGAGCCAATGGAAATTCATATTTTTCTTGCATTGCTAGGAATTTAGAAAAGAATAGGTAAAAAAAAATATTAGTCTTATATTTTATATTCATTAAAGTGTACCTCTTGCCTAATCTATTCTCTGTTTCAGACTGATCAGGATTCTGTTGCAGCATGCATCTGACTTTCATCAAATTCACAAAAGAAATTGTGAAAACAGTGGCAGTGTGTTGACTGCACGTTCCTGTGACCACCCTGCAAGTTTTGCACTTGTCCCTCTATTTCCTTGCAGGCAATGAAAGAGCAGAGGTAGGATTATTCAACAATCAGCTGAAAGTGGAGTGGTCCATGAGGAGGCCTATAGTGAAATTATTAACCAGTAAGTATCACTATTATTTCCAATAGGATACCTGTCTATTTTTCTGTCAGTTTTACCTGTATTATCTTCAGATGTCTGGATTCTAATTAAAGAGAAATTGACAACTAAGCTAGGTAGCATATCCATTTTGCTGTCATTGCTTATGCCAAGACAAACCATGAATTTTTACAAGAAAACTAAATAGGTGTTTCATAAGACTAGAACTGAAATGCTCAAAATTCTTTCAATCCCCTTAAAAAGTTGATTTAAAAGATAGCTGTGAGATCCATATGTAGAATCAATTGTCTGAAAATTACACAGATAGCACTCCTACTGATGTAATGTGCATTGGTGAAATAATTAAGTTCTCTGCAAAGAGCACCTTGTTTCTTTTTGGTGCCAAATCAAGTTTCTCCAACTCCCTTTTCATCTATTACCCTCCCTGGTTAAGGTTGTACTTCCCTCTGTGTGATGGTGCAGTGGATCAGACTTAAGAATTGATCCAGGTTGAAAGAAACTTAAAAAAAAAACAATGGACATTTTGAGATAGAGAGAAAAGGTGACTTGGGCAGTCATTCTGACAGCAGCAAAGAGCCTGGATTTCAAGTTTATGTTCTTCCATAAATGATGAAAATCACAACAAATCCTGGCTTGTGTGGCTTTCTTATGGATTGCTTTTGGTCTCAGCATTTGAAATTAAATGGGTTCACATCAGGCATTGATCCCAATTTAAAGAGAACTGTTTTTAGTTGAAGTGAGCAGTGTTGTGGCACAGGTTGGTCTGGCCTTAGGTAAAAAACACGGTACCCCAGCCCTGCTGCAGTAAGAACACAACACAAGGCCCTTGTCATTCCCTTCCCCTTCTAGCCCCCCAGCTTCAGACAGCTGCATCAAGAGCCAAATTTGGTTAGTCATCTTTGAATCACCAAGGTCTAAGGCCCTCTGGCTCTTATGCCTCTGATACACTTCATTACAAGAGAAGTGGTATAAATAGTAATAAATTCTTAGTTAAACATTTCAAAGCATTTATGGCTTACTTGAAAACTAATAAAAAATAACTGTTTGTCCAAATCCAAGCCCTAAGAGTTCATGGAAATTGTCAGTTTGTTTACAGGTAACTCACTCCAGTGGTTTCCATTATTTAACACTCTCATTTGAAATTTCTTCCTGTTTGTACTAAGACTGCTACCTTCAAAAATATTTTTGAGGTGCTGCTAATATCCTAAGAGCCATTTTTGTCTTTTTGAGTATACAAGGCAAAACTGGAATTTCTTCCAAAGGTTTCAGCAGAGTAATTCTCAGTAGTTTAACACTTGCCTGTTCATTTGATTATGTCACTATTCTAACAAATATTTTTAATTGACAAGAGAAACACATCTTTAATGAATGAGCATAACAACAGTGTAAGTAATGGGTGAGATCTTAAAGCAGAATTAATTAAGGGAAGAGAAACTCCTATTTAAAAATCCAGAACAGACACATTATATATATGCAACAAACAAAGGGAGGGAAACAGAACTCAAAACAGGAAGTGGGTGTTCGATATTTCAACAAATGAAATGTAGAATGAAAACAGAAAACTTGCACAAGCAATAGTGATAATTGAAGATTCTGTATTTTTTCCACTAGATTGCAATTTAGATAGCTGTGTGAAGTAAGTCTTGTGAAGCAAATTAAAGAACTAAACGCTTAAAGGCAAAACCTTTGCAAATAAATATGAGTCATCTCTTATGAAGTCAGAGATAAGAGTTATTTGTTTTTTTAAAAAACACAGGAAATCAATACGCAGGTTTTCTCCATGCCATGAATAAGACTGAGTGTTTGACCTGTGTGGACCTATCACCAATCCTGACACACACATCCTCCAATTCTTCAATCACAATGAGTTATGTGAAATTAACTTAGGTTTTTCATGTTTATTTAGCACACTGAGTAGATTCTCACAAGAAGAAAAAAAAATCCTAAACCATAAAAATGGGTAAATACATTACGTAACTTGAGAATGTATGTGTAGTGATGTATACACATCCATTTTAAAATTTACTGCAGTATAATCCCTTATAACATTACTTTGTAAAATACTGAGCAGCAATAAGACATACGATGTTCAAACACCCATAGTAACAAAGTTTATGGCTTACGCGTTTATTGCATTTTAACATTATTAACCCTGAGCCGACGGGCCCTGCGCTTCCGGCAAAGGACGCGCTCACACCTAGAGCACAAACCCAGCATGACTCAGGATATCTGCACGTAATCCCGTGGAAGCCAGCGGGGAAACAAGCACGTCGCTCCCGCTTGTCACCTCCTGGCAATTTCTGATTTACTTAGCCGAATAAATGTAAAATACTATGTCGTACCATGAGTGACTGATGTAAGGAACGTGCTTTTACTAAGCAGAATTACACAACAACCTGCGGGCAGCGCCACGGCGGGGCGGCCTCTGGGCAGGTTTCCGCGTCCCTCAGGGCTCCGGCACCGCCCAGGGGACAACCAGGGGTTGTGCCGCGTCCCTTCCCTAGGTCAGTGCGGAGACAGCCGGGGCTGGACCCTGCGAGAGAGCCCAGCCAACCGCCCTTATCGGCGGGGCCCGGCCGGCGCGGCGAGCTGCCGGCACCGCCCCGCTATCGCACGCCCGGAGCGCGGCGCAGGGAGCGCGGCGGCCCCGCGGCCACCCCGGCTGTTACCGGCCGCGCCCGCCCCCGGCAGCGCGGGGCCGCCCCGCCCGCACCGCGGCGCGTCCCGCCCCGGCCAATGGGCGGCGCCGGCGGGGGCCCGCGGCGGCGGTTGGTCAGCGCCGCGGCCGTTGCGCCCCGCGGCCGCCCGGCACCGCCGCCCGCGCGCGGCTCCGCCTCCCGCCGCGGCCGCTGGCGCTGGGAGGCCCCACAGACGCCATTTCCTCGGCGCCCCCGCGGCGGCGCGGCTGCATCAGCGCTGACGTGAGGACGACGTGCGGCTCCGCCCGACCCGGTCCCCCCCACCCCCTGTGACGGGGGCAGCACGTACAGGGCGGCGGGTGAGTGCGGGAGGGGGCGGGGACACGTGTGCGCGCAGCCCGACCCCCCGCGGGCCGGGAGCGGGGCAGCGCGGAGGGCAGCGGGCGGCGCGGCGGGCACGGCAGGCACGGGCAGGGCAGGCGGGGGGCGCTGTGCTGCGCTTGGCTCAGCCGCGCCGCGGGAGCGCGCGGGAGGCGGCGGAGGCGCGTCCCCGCCGGCGGCCGGGAGCGCGCTGCGCTCAGGGACGGCCGCGCAGAGCCCGCACGGCGCTGTGGGGCGGCCCCGAGGCGGCTGCGCATCCCGGGAATTCCGGAGGGGCTGCGCGGAGCGCCGGCTCCGCTGCCGCCCGGGAGCCACGGCGTTCGCCGGGCTCCGGCAGGCGGTGGCTTCAGCGCTTGCTCGGGCCACCGGCTCGGCTCGCCCGGCGTTGCGGCTCGGAGCGGGGCAGCGCCTGCCCGCTGCGGCAGAGCGCCCCGGACGGCCCGTCCTGGGGTCTCCGCAGGGCTGCCCCGGCCAAGGGGAGCGGGGGTGCCCGGTGGCGTTTGCCCCTCAGTCCGTTACTCCCGGTTATAACCTTGCCCACAGGGCTTTCGGAGCTGGGTCAGAACAAGTGGGGAGGGATCACAGTGCGCTTCCTGAGTCCGAAGTCTTGCTTGAAACTTTTGCCTGCCTCCCCCGCTGGTGTGATAGCATCATTTTTGGTGCTGAGTGCCACCGCGTGTAAGTGATTCCGCGGGGACTGATGCTGGACTGATCTCTGGCCTGACGGGGCTGGTTCGGCCCCTCTGGAGGGGGCCGTGTGTTCGTCCGCTCACAACCGGCTCTGCGCTGCACTGTCAGCATGGATGGGCTGGCGGGTGCCGAGTGGCCTGGTGGCATTGCCTGTGCTCAGAGTAATGGCACGTTGGGGTTTCGGGTTTAGCTGAGGTGTTCGGGGAAGAAAATAGGGAAATAAGAATGTAGGAGACACGAGGACCTTAGTGATGAAACTTCTGGTGATGATGAAAACTGAAAGTTTACACTTCAAAATTGGGTCTGTTTTACTGTTGCACATTTTACTTTACTTCTGTCATCACCTTATCAGCTGGTGTCCTTCATGCCACCAGGGTGGTAAAACAGTTATTACAGAGCTGATACAAAACACGGTGTCTGAAACAAGTGTATTCTGAGAGTTTCCACACTCACTGTGGGGTCACATCAATAAATGCAAAAGAGATGTTTGTAAATTCACATTGTTGCTTTCTAGTAACTCCCCTGTGAATAAAGGCCTTCAAAGAGATTTGGAGCAAGGGCTGAAACATAATTTTAGCTCCTTACGATTTATTTCCTTTGTATCAAACCACATTTGTAAGCAGTCCCTAATGTATAAAGGATGGTTGAAATAAAATGTTGTTTTTAAAAATGCCTCTGGGTATTTATTTGGACAGTCACACACTTCCAGTTATGCAAAATACTGTAGCAGTCTGCTTTTGCAGTATAATTTCACCAATAGACATTAAATATTATGTTGATATGCAGACAAACAGCAGTACTGGAGGAGTTAAAGGATTTCTTGTGCTCTTTATTGCAAAAGAATGTGTCTTCCAGGGATGCTATCCTTCATCTCTTATCTATGAGCAAAAATATAAAGAATTCACACCTTTAGCTGTAAATTGCTTCAAATTTTCTAGGAAAAACTTTCTGTTTTCCTCTACCTGCTTCCATCTGTCAGATTTCTCCTGTCAGGGGTGATTAATCTGATCGTAGTTGAAGAAGCTTTTGATGTACACTGTATCCATCATCCTAATCAGTGTTTATCTGATTAGTAATCAGTATTCTTAATCAGTATCTATCAGTGCTACTGACCACTCACTGCTGTCCATTAGTCTCAGTGACTACAGTAAACATGTACTTATATATATTGAAATGTTGCTAGTTTGGTAAGAGTTAAACTTCCTGCCAGATCCTGAAGATCTCTTTGCAATGTTATAGGAAGAAGCAGGTATCTTTGCTTCATTATGGAAAACCATTTTTGTCCCGTTTTTATGTATGTGCAGAGGTGTAACTTGTTTATTAATTTAAAAATCCAGACTAGTATTTAAAATTATTGTTCAGTCTTTGTAAGTAAGATAAAAAATATAAGAAAAAGATGTATTAATAATGAGTATAAGACTAAAACTTGCATATAATTAGTCATACAATGAAGAAAAACATAATATAATTTTAAACAGGACCCAAGACCGCTTACTTTGAACTATTTGCTTACTTCTCCTTTAAAAACAGAAGGAAGGTTATGTAAACTTTTAAGTGTGATGTGTACTCCTACTGATAGACTTTTATCAAGTATTTTAAGGGCTTGGTGGAAAATTCTGTTTTTCTTTCTTGGAAACGTAATAACAATGAATATGTTGGAATTTGCTTGCAATGCAGACTGATTGAGTGTGATATGTGTGGAAACTGTTTTCTGAATTGGATTAGTAACAGTTTCATGCCACAGTCTGCATTGCTGATGTTTTAGAAAAGCATAATTTATAGTATTGCCCAGTATTTTTTCTTTGTATGTATTAAAAAGTTTGTATGTATTAAAAAGTTTGATGTATTCATGTAGTAGAGGAAATAAAACCCCATTACAATTCAGGTTATAAGAGTGCTCTGAAGACAGTGACATCCTGAAATCCAGGGGTTCCTTGGCGTGCCGGGTCTCGAGCTGTGTACAAGCGCATGTGAAGTGGCAGAGCTCAGTGTGACTGTGCCACCGCTGACCCTGTGGGCTCAAATGACTGCAGCTGACCTGCTCCTGCCAGCTCAGTGACCCCATGGTTGTGTCTATCACTCCTCATCTTGTAACATGTCTGAATTGTGATACTAATGTGCTAGTTTGTCTTAAGTCATCGTTCTCACTGAAGTTTTATGCCGAGATAGCTCGTGTATCTTTTAAAATTACTCATATACTTCATTATTTTTGTTTTGTTTTGTTTTGTTTTTTTTAGGCTGTGAGTGGATCTTTATATTTGGAGGTTGTTTTAAATCAAGTCACTATTTGGTCACAGAGATTGTCAAAAGCAGGTTTGAGCTTATCTAGGAAAAGTATTTTACTGTGTTTCAGAGTAGTGATTGCGTTTTATGGCAGTCAAATTTTCAGACTTTACTCCACCCTACTAAATATTTCAATTAAGCGATCATTTGTATTGAGAGTCAGAATATACACAATTATAGACGGAAAATCTATATAAATTCTAGAGTTTTCCAAGTAAATAAAAATAGTAAATAAATCTTAATTATGTTTGTCACTCCACTGACACGTATCTTTCTTGCTGTTGTTTTTCTAATTAAAGATAAATAATCAAAAAATACACCCATTTCTCTGTACTGCATTTTGCAAAATATAAGGAATAACTTTGTTAGATTTCCTGCTGCACTGATGCTCTTTTTGCTAACATAGTGCAGCACTGCAAATGAAAGGTCCTGGGGAGAAAAATCCTGATAAAGTAGTAGAAGTAAATACATTTTTATACTGTTCTGCAATCAGTGAGAAATTAAGCTAAAAATCAGGAAGTAAATTTTTTCCAAGATGAAAAATTACACTTTCTGGGTAAAATTTCTATGAAATGCATTCAGTGGGAATAAAAGTTGGATTTTTTGTTGTTTGGTTTTGGTTTTTTGTGGTTTTTTTCAACAATAGTTTTTCTGTGACAGATGGCTCTGGATACAAAAATACTTCAGGGCCTTCATACAGTGAATTAATTCTGACTATATTCCCATCTTTAGGAAGGGATTACAATGAGTATGTTGCCAGTACCTAGGCATTATCTATTCTTCCTTGGTGTGTGAGCTATTCTGAAGCTTATTCTTACATGAACCACCTAAACCTTTCATATTTGAGACTTTATGGGTGGCCCTAGTTTACAAAGGAAGAACTTTTTTCCCTGCTTTATTATTATTATTATATTGCACATATATAAAACCAGAATATTTTAATTAGGTAACATCTTCTTATAGAAAATTATGGTGACAAGTTTGGTGAAAATATTTTCCCCAGAGTTGTTAGACTTTGGTAAATTTCAGTAGGTATTTAATTAGATTGTATCTAAACAAAAAGATAATTAGTTGTAACGAGCAAGAGAAAAATGTAGAAAGATTTTAGTTGTAAAATAGCTTCCTATGATTCTAATCTGAATTGATACTGGCATAGGGTATGTAACTTCTCTGAGTTACATACTCATATTAACCCATAAAATGTTAAATTGTTTTGCAGCTTCATTACTATTAGCTGTAGTACTGTTAAATCTGGTCAGTAGAATACCATTTGAGGCATATGAGCAAGAAATATGCTTCTCTGTGTCATTTAACTGGGTGTCTTTTCATATTTTCATGCCTTTATTTTGGGCAAAATTTTGATTTTTAAAAAGCTAATCAAAATTATTCTCTTCAAAGATGGTGGAATGTTCTGTAAAATAGTGCCACAAAAGGAGTTTGGTTTACATTTAATTTGATTTAATGTAACAGGGACTAAATTCCTGAGTCTCAGAGTCAGGTGGGTAGCAGTTCTTGCCTGCCTCTTGCATCTCTCAGTCTAAGTCCTGAGAAGAAACCAAAGTAACTATCAGAAATAATTGAACTTTGGCCTCAGGCTTGTCATCCCCTAGTCACAGGAACTGAACCTGGGGAACCGAGATTTGCTGCCTCTTAAATCTCTCACCTAATATCATGTCTTCCTTTTGAGGCTGTCCGTGGTTGTGTAAGTAGGGTGTAGGTGGGAGCGTGCCTGCAGGGCGCCCTGCCTGCCTCTGCCTGACCCTATCCTGTCTCTGTTCTGTTTGTAAACTGACCTGTTGCCATGGCAATGTTTGACATCACCTGTTCAATGTTGCACCTTCAGTGCAGGGTTTGGTAGGAGAGAAAGGGAGCCGAAGAGATCCAAGCTCTTGTTTTAAAACTCACACCTCCCGTTATGACTAAGTGTGCCAAGAAATATCGAAAAGGAGCTGTCAGGTAATTGCATTTTTATATAGCAGATATGTAGCAGACTTGGAGGTTTTCTCTACAAAGGTTAAACTTAGTTTAAATTGAGGGTCAGCAAGTTCTTAGTTTTCAATAAAATCTATCCTACTTTTAAGTCTGAAAAGTGAGAAGAATTGTTGTGGCTCCTGAGCCATGAGTAGTTTACAGACAATTCAAGTGTAGATGCCAGCAGGGAATAGGTTCAAGAGGGCTGTAGCAGCCCATGAGGCTGAAGGGACCTTCTGTGGGCAGCACTGCCAGCCCTGCATGGGACCCTGGCACTCTGCTTGTCCCTCCCTGAGGACCATCTCCAGAACTGCCTCTCCCTGCAACTTTCCAAAACACTTGTTTTAGAGCTCCTGGCTATATGAGTGAATATTTTAATATGGGGGAATGAAGAAAGGATTTCATTTTGACAGAAATATATTTATTTTCTGTCTGCTCCACATACAAAATAGTTTGGAATTATTCTCCCTAGCTGCCTGATATACCTCCCTGTATTGAGTTATTTAAATATGTATGTACTTACTTTTAGACTGATGACCATGGAAATGGTTGAACAGGATGACAATGCAGTGGATTCTCTGACAGAGAGAAGTGCTGGTCACCTTCAGAATCAGCCAGGCCAGAATCAGATTTCCTCAGGATCTGAGGTAAGTTGAAGTGTGGAAAGATGAGAAGAATCAATGAAGTGATATCCAGAGCTGCTACGATTTTTAAACAATCAATTTTTATGTTATTCTCATGTTTTATGTGTCTTGGTATTAAATAGGAAAAATATAGCAAAGGTATACTGGAAAATATGCCTTCAGTAGTTAACAAAGCACTAATATAACATGAGGTCTGTTAAAAGGTGGCATTTTTGGGAGCCCTTTCAGACAAGAGTGATCAGTAGACAAAGAGGTTTTTTTCTTTCACTTTCACAAGGTGATTGTCATAGAGATGGGATACAGTCTTAAGGAATTGAGGTGGCTACAAGATCAAACATATCTAAACCATTGGTGTATCTTGAAGATGTGTTGTATAACAAAAATGGAAACATGAATAAAAATAGCCATGGTTCTCTCCTAGTTCCAGTTTTTGTACAGAATGTATTTAATCTAATTACAAATACATTTTTAATGTGTGCTTGTTTTGTTTCATCCCTGTCTATCCAATGACAGTGTCTGGACTTTTAAAACATACATTACATGTTTTCTATGGATTATTGTTTGGTTATTAATGGATAGAAGATTATATAGTAACAATTCTCAAACATTAAAAATATGTACTGTAATATTCAATACTTGAGAGAAATAGTGTTCCTGACAGTACTAAGATTTATAGCTTCAGAAAAGTGTATAGATCACTTAAAAGGATTTTAAAAAGCCCTTTGTTATATAAAATAACTGATTTTAGAAAAAGTCTTACCGAATTTTTTCATCATTGGAAGTTTGAAGTTATTTGCTAAGATTTGATGCCATGTGTTTGTTATGTTAGATACTTGATTTACATTATAGATACATTTTTAAAACTGAAAGCAGCTGCTTTTTTTGTCAAATCTCCAGGCACAAACTAGACTGCAAAATATTTATCAACCTTTTTTTGTTGGTTTTGATGCATGCCGCATTGGGAATATTGCTTGTTCAGTTTTTTCTTTTTTTTTCTTTAAGAATTTTATTTGGTTTGCTCTGTTGATGTCATCCCCTCATTTCTTCTTTAGTAGTTCTGTTCAAATTTTCATAGGATGGTTGATATGTAAAATTAATTGGCTGGTGCAGTAGTCTCTGGAGAAGACAGCTGTGAATTCTGTCACTTGGGATTTTTAGTGTTGATCCAAAGGTATCACTAATGCTGTAGGAGAGAGGAGAGTTTTTGCACTCCTGTATTGTGCAACATATAACACTTTTTATATTTGTCTGCACTTAATGCTTGAGTACGGTATGTGAAGGTTCACCTGTATGGGGTATGTGTCTCATACCTTCCAGTTAAAATGAAATATTGATGAATCTCCTTCAATTAATGCTGAACCAAAATTTATACCTCAGTTTGAAGGCTGGGTGTAACAGTCTGGAGTGGAGTCCCTGGTTTTGGTCAGATGGCTCAGAGGGCTGTCCTGGAGCTGGCAGAGCTGCTTGGTGCAGGTGGCTGGAGCTGCTGTCCCTCTGCTGGGTTTGGGCTCCCAGACAAGCAGGGTTGGTGCTGCTGTCCCTCTTGGGCTCCCAGACAAGCAGGGTTGGTGCTGCTGTCCCTCTCAGGCTCCCAGACAAGCAGGGTTGGTGCTGCTGTCCCTCTCAGGCTCCCAGACAAGCAGGGTTGGTGCTGCTGTCCCTCTCTGAGGGTTTGGGCTCTCAGACAAGCGGGGTTGGTGCTGCTGTCCCTCTCAGCCTCTCAGACAAGCAGGGTTGGTGCTGCTGTCCCTCTTGGGCTCCCAGACAAGTGGGGTTGGTGCTGCTGTCCCTCTCAGCCTCTCAGACAAGCAGGGTTGGTGCTGCTGTCCCTCTCAGGCTCCCAGACAAGCAGGGTTGGTGCTGCTGTCCCTGTCAGGCTCCCAGACAAGCAGGGTTGGTGCTGCTGTCCCTCTCTGAGGGTTTGGGCTCTCAGACAAGCAGGGTTGGTGCTGCTGTCCCTGTCAGGCTCCCAGACAAGCAGGGTTGGTGCTGCTGTCCCTGTCAGGCTCCCAGACAAGCAGGGTTGGTGCTGCTGTCCCTCTCAGGCTCCCACACAAGCAGGGTTGGTGCTGCCATCCCTCTCCGAGGGCCCTGGGCCTGTGCCCATCTCCTCAGCCGCTGGCTCCTGGGGCCTGCAGCCCTCACACGCCCTCAGTGCCTTCAGGCTGCTGTGCCCCAGCATTTGTTGTGGTGGAGCTGCCCAGACAGAGCACTTATTGCTGCCAGGCCTTTTGAGGTGCTCCTTTGGCTTAAGATGAGTAGGATTTTCTTAGCCTGTGTTCCTACCTGGCTGCCTTGGAAGGTGAGGCGCTTTGCCATGGAGAGCTGGGCCTGGGTATTGAGGGGTAAAAGCCCACTGGAGGCCCCTGTATGAGACTGGTTTTGTGCTGGTCCAGGTGGGAAATTTGTGTGTTTCTGAGGAATTCATAGCTGTGCCTGTGTATTTTCTTTATTACAGAGGAGCACAGACCTCTTCTCCCTCTTTGGCCTGTGTAGGAATGTTGTTAAGAGATGTCATCTACTGCAGGTGACTGAAGCATCTTGTGCCCAACTTCAGTCATCCCTCCTACTAATTTTTGTTGCAAATATATAGAAATAGTAGAAAAGAATGACTTGATTTTTACTGAGAGTGAAAATGCCTGGTCACTGAAACGGAGGGCTCCTTTAAAAATATCTCGAAGAGAGTAGGGAGATGGCAGCTTTGTTTGTGTTTTTTCTTACAAAATATTTGTTCAACCTTGGTTTTGGTCAGTCAGAAGTAAAACATTTTAATACACTGTCTTTTAATTTGTGGTTTTCTGTGTATTATCAAAGAATTAATTGTAGAAGGGTCAAGCTTGGGAGGAACCTTTTAAGATTATCTAGTCTGACCTGCCTGTGCAAGTAGTGTCAGCCAGAACTGTGTCTGCCTGGGATGTAAATGTCTCCAAGGATGGAGTCTCTAGAACCCCTCTGGGCAGCTGTCCCAGCAGGTGACTGCCCTTCCAGTAAAACAGGTGGAGTTTTTATGTACAGATGGAATGTAATGGTTTTTAATGTGCTTGATATTTAATTGAATTATGGCTTTGGCCAGGGAGTGACTTGTAAAGTGCTGAGGGATACAACTACATAGGAGGTGAACACCTTTTTTTTTCTTCTTCTTGGGGGGCAGCTGACTTATTTTCCCCTCCTCTACAGGCTTTTTAAAGAAATACCTGCCATTTTGTTTTAAAAGGATGGACCAGGTATTTCAGAAGATGATAATCTTTAGAGGACAGAGATTGTTTTGTGCTGAAGCATTTTTAATGTCTCCCCTGTTGGGAGAGAGAGGAGACATTAAGAATATGGGGGCTGGAGCACTATGGTGTGATGGGATGGCCTCCAATGCTACGAAGGACTTACTATACATTATTTGTAGAGGAAAAAATAGTGTTTGCATTTTTTTTTCACTTGTGTCATAGTTACTGCTGTATTCTCCTGCGATTTTTTGCTGCTGAAAGTAAAGTTACTTTTTCTACTAAAGCAAAAATGAATAAATTTGAAACTAACAAAGATGAGATACACTTTTTGTCCATTAAATGATTGTTTTCAAAATAAAATGTTGTACTGTAGAATCAGTTTATAGTTGCATTTTTTGCATCTGTCACCTTTAGCCAGTTGATTAATTGACATGGTAATATTTTTCTGATCCAGCTACCAGAATTAATAGGTAAGAAAGTAAAATTATTGGTGGCTGTCTTTAGAAGCTGTTGAAGATGTGCCACACACCTGTACAAAAGCTTGATGTCTTTGAGGGAAGAGCAGAGGTGTGAGATGGAAAATTTCTCAACCTGTTTTGAGATGAGCTCCATGGGTGTCTCACATGCACAGATCATCTGTTGCTATATATAGAGCTGTACTTACAAGGAAGTAAACTTGTATTGGAATATTCTGATAGTGTTGATGGTAGTCAAAATTACATCTTGGAAGATTTAAATCTGCAATGGTGTTCAAAGAGAAATTAGATGTTCCTTTTGCAGGATTTCTAGAAGCCATTCTGTGTTGCTGTGTGCTCAGCTACACTAAATATAACTATAACAATATAAGATCAATGTACTTTAGCCCTTCTCAGGTTTGATAAAAACACTTTCAGTTGTGGGTTTTTTTTTTCTTTAATCCTACATCTTGATGGGTTCCTCTTTGATTCACTTTTTGTTAACCTTGTCATGTTGTCTATCAGTAGAGCTGTCTTCTGACCTTGTCTGAGATACCATCTGTTGACCTCTTGGTGCTGGCCCTGAATTAGACATATGTCAGGATTTACAATGTGAGAGCTGCTGTCAGTGAGCATAGGGAGAGTTTCAGGGAGGTTTTCAGAGCCTGGAGTGAGTGACTATTGCAGGCTGGGACCGTTCAAGTTCAGCGCTTTGGGGGGTTGTTCTTGTAGGCTCTTGACACATCAAACAGTGTTAAATCTTACTCCCTAGAGATTGAGACCTATGGGAGTTTGCTAGGCTGTTGTAAATAAGGCTATAAAACCAGCCTGCCAAATGCAAATGCAGGCCATTTAGCAAAGTTGATGTTAGAGGATTATAAACATGCAGCTATTTCACCATTTTGTGCTTCCTTGAAGCATATGGTGACCAAATGTCTGGAGTCACCCTAACCTTATTTTCCTTAAAAGTAGGTGCTGCTATTTTGGCAGTAGTTTTGGAATTGATCAAAACATCTGTCTCCAGCTTTTCCTCATAGACGGTACTTGGTGCCCAAATGTGGCAGGTCCTTTGTTCTTTTGTTAAATCCAGTGTGGATTTGCCTTGGCTTTTCCTTTTCCAGAATTGCTTTTCACTTTACTTCTAGAGTCCTTGTAGTACTTGGAGTCTGCAGCAGGGGCAGAAATCAGATGGGCCTGTGTCCTGAGTTGTACATTTGGCAGTGTTGAAGGTATAAGGGGTTGAATGTGAAGGTAACCTCTCCAGTACTTAGCAGGGAAAGGATATCTGACATTCACAGGATATCCAGGATAACTGTTCAGATGGACCATGTATCTTGAAGTGAGATAAATGATGGGCAGCCTCTTTGTCTGCAAGAGTGTGTGCCTCAGTAGGAAGGTAGTACCTGGTCATTCTTGCTGGCTACTTTGCTCTCCTCACGTAGAAGAGGGAGCACTTACATTTCCAAATACCTGAAATATGGGACCATACTGCTATTATGGGTTGCATGGTTGATGTTTATTGAAGCTATTGGACATGAATATTTCATGCCTGGGAGCACAGAACCCATAGAATGTGCTAAGCTGCCCCTCAGCCTCTGTGTCCCTGACTTGCCTCTGTGGGTTGTTTTCAGTTGCTGTCCCAGACAGTCCTTGAAGTAATGATGTTAAAGGTAGCATTGCTCATCGCTGATGTCAGAAAGAAATTTCTTTGCCAAGTCTGTTTCAGTCAGGATTTACGCATGACAGCATGAAAATGTTCTAGTATGTCAGTGGACACAGCAATATTCAGCTTGAAAACTGTAAAGGGAAATCTGAATCAAAATTCTAATAATAATTTCCAATATCTATAAAAGAGATGCAGAATATGAACCTTGAAAATTTTATAATACTACCATCTCCTCTTCCCTTAGCACTTAAACCGTTTCATTTAATCTCTTATCTGAATTAATGGAAACAAAACAATTTCTCCTTTAAACTTTAGTCCAAAATTCAGTATTAACTGAATGAAGTTGTCTTTTTTTTTTTCCCCTGTGGGGTTATACTGAATAAGGAGCTTTAAAATGAATGTAGTTTCTTAATCTCAAGTACTGGATTATTTCCTGATTATGTGTGAGGACCCATTGTGTACCAAAAAGAAACTTTTAAACTGTTCACCTTTTACTGTTTTATGGCTGTACTCAGAAAGTTCTTTCTGACCTACTGAGCATTGTATCAAATGGCAATTCTCACAAAGAGAACAGTAAATGGAAAGGTTTGGTGAAATTGCTTTTATAATGGTTTGAAAAGTTAGCATGTTATGTAAACATTCAGACTGCTCTGTGATGGCTGCTTGAAGCTTGGCTTTAGGATGTAAGCTTGGCCACAAAATAGATCATAGTTTTCAGATCTTTGAGGCTTTCTGGAGCTTAATCTCAAATATCTGTTTCTGATAAATTTCTCGTAATATTAATATTCGTTGAATAGGTTGGGAAGACGGTTTGTATGTCCTATTTCCCTGTTACTATTTCATGCCATTTAAGGAATGATTTAAGGAACCCATTTCAGGGTTAAAAATGCCCTCAATTGTTCTGTTTTCTGAAAAGTGCTTCAGTTTCCTACAACATCGAACAATTGCAGAGTGAATGTTGACAAAATCCTGTCTTTGTTTCCTAGAAACATTATTTCTTCAAGGTAATTTGAACCAACATCAGAACTTTTTGATAGCAGTGCATCTTAATAGCAGTTAAATTTTTTTGCTTTATTCAAGAAGGGGATTATTTCCTAGACAAGCAGTATCTTATGGATCAGAAATGAAAACTGCTTTTATATTTGGATTAAAAAAAACACCTCAGTGTAAATATGTAAAAATTACAAAAGTTTCTTTAACTGTTTTTTTTTTAAATATTCAGCATTCTTCATATTTTTCTTCTTACTCTCATCTCATTTTATGTTTACTGCTCATAGCAGATACCTTTGGAGCTGTGAACAAAGCTAGGAAGGGAATAATAACAGAGTTTTATATTTGAGTCTGATTTTATTGGTGAATATACAGAATATAGAAATAAGACTTTTCAGTGCAGTTTAATTGAAAAACACAGCATTTCTTTTTATTATATAGTTTATGTTTGGCATTGTTTTCCGAGTTTAGAGATGTTTCATCACATAAATAGAGATCAATCACAGTATTTTCCCTTTGCTTGTTTCTTTAATAGATTTAACAGTAACAGCACAAATACTGAACTATTTCTTAGTCCATAGGTGTTAAGCTGTTTCTCAGCCCATTAGTCCTCAGCACTGAGGGCTGAGAGTCACAGGCTGGGGAAAGCTGTTCTATGGCTGTGCTAGGCCTAGAGAAGATTCAGCTGTTCTTTATTTTTGTTGTTGTTTGAAGCACTGATACACTCCAGCTCTCTTTTTCTTGATACATAAAATTATATATATAACAGGAGTCTGTTAAACTAAATGAGTTTACAAATCCTTGTATGGCTTTATTTAACAGGGTGGTTTTTCACTATCTGAAGAATTCTCATGTCTCCTGAGACATCCATCCAAAAAGCACAACTTCTTACCTAATAAGCAAAGCAAAACTAAAGCAGTTCTAAATAGTTTTCTTCCTAAGTCTGCCCTTTATGTTATTGCAGTGACATTCCACTCCAGTGAATATGCGTGGGTTTTGTTACATTTCTGGAGGTTCTTCCTAACCTTCATGCTGGCAACAGCAGATCTGGTGTGTGATGGCTGAGGATTGGGTTTTTTTGATTGAAAGGAAAATACAAAGTCTCTGGAGAAAAAAACCCAAATAATTGCAGTTTCTTAGAGTACAGTTTTAAGCTTTCCAGACCATTTGGAAAGATACATGCCTTTGGTACTTTTACTAGTAAAATAATTTATTTTTGTGTGTGATAATTATATACATCTGAGATTTTTTTAGATGTGGCAACAAAATCAGTCTGTTTTAGCTATCACTGCTAAAAGCATTTACTGAAGTCTTAAGGCATCTTACTTAAACATGATGATTGTAATTTTTGCAGGTTTCTGTAGCTGCTTCCAGTGCTGGAAGAGGATCTCCAGCTGTAACTCTAGTGCAGTTGCCTTCTGGTCAAACTGTTCATGTCCAGGGTGTCATTCAAGCCACACAGCCCTCAGTCATTCAGTCACCACACATGCAAGCTGTTCAGGTTAGCTTTTTTATTGTTACATTTTCATGAATATTTGGTACCTCATAATTCTTTTCCCAGCCCATCTTCAGTTTCTCTTCATTCCAACCAGTGCTGCAAGATTTACTCAGATGGCACAGGAAACAGCAGGGGAAAAGGTGGCAAACATCCAACCAGGAGCAGCTCTACAAGCATTGTTTAGCAATTCCTTAATGCTTCCTGTTTATCTTATAAGAAATTGTCTTGGAACTTGGGTCTGAACTTATGCAATAGCAAATTTGTGTCATAACATGGCCTTACTTCGGTGTACCCTGCAGTCTTTAATTTCTGTTAAATTCTATGAACATAGTGTTTCTAATGAGACTATGAACTCATAAATATTGAAGTATCTCCTATTTTATTATTGGAAAGGGTCTGGGCATATTGTATCAAGTGGTTCCTTGTTTGGAGCCCCTAACAGACCCTCATAGAACATCTTATATTGCTTTTTGTGGATGTGGATACCAAAAATACCAGCAGCCTCAAAACACACATTTATGTGGCAAATGTTCATGTGTTGAAAGTTGCAGGAACTAGAAAACAGGAATTGGTGCAAAACGGGTAAGACTTTTCAGAGTTTTTAAAAAGTAGAAAAGGCAAGAGTGAATGAATTTACAGTGTTTTGAAAGTTTCTTGGCCTCCCATTGGTGTTTTTTTGTAGCTGGGAAGGCTTCTGCTCTAGTTTTATTAAAATCTGTTCGAGAAATGTCAGCTGAATTGCTTTTTGCAGATACAATTGCTATTTCTGGTAAGAAAGGTGATACACCTCTCCCTATTAGGAGGGAAGGGTTTTGCCTGTGGCCATAGCAACTTTTTTTAAGGAAAAGTCATGTGTTGTCGGTCTTGAGAAGCCATCTTTAATGTTTGAGGCTTCTTAATAAATTTCCAGTATAATAAACAAAAAGACATGTATAAGTAGGATTTATATTTGAGAAAAATAATAAAACTGTGATCAGATAATGAATATTTTATTGTTTAGCAGTAGGTGTAGATGATGGGACCTCAAGGTTTTGAAATCCTAGATCACTATGGAAAGAGGTGTGGTAGGTGCCAATATTTGATCAAACTTGAAGTCAGAACAGAGTATTCAAAGTAAATACTTTTTTTCCATTGGAATTCTTTCTAACCGTAATTTTACTGAGTAACCTTTATTCAATAAGCACATTTGTAATTCCCAGTTTCTGTTCCTTTAGTCAGTGTAATCAGGACATGCATGCAAAGATAGAGGACTTTTTTCAAAGCTCAGAAGGAGAAATTTCTCAGGAATCTCTTCCAGCTGCTGCTGTGTCATTTTAGGGGAGTGGAAGTCAACTATTTGTTGTATTGAGTGAACTCTGGCTGTCCGCTCTTTCCCAAAGGAGTAGAAACAAGAAAGTTTTGTCCCAATTAATGCTGACTAGTTAGTTCCAGGATTTTGCTTTGGTTTCATCTGGATAAGAAAGGGCCTTGAAGATGCTGTAGAAGAATCCATTATAGAGGGTGTTCAGCCCTTCTGTGATCCTTTCCAGTACACTATCCTGCCACTTGGAATTTCCTCCAGATCATTTGGCTTTAACTTCTACCTTGTCTCTGCCAGATAGTAGGGAACTTGGGAAATTATATCAGTTTAAAAAAGAAAGAAGTATGCTGAAGGTTGGTGTTGAAGCTTGCATGACCTCTGCCTCAAACATCTGCCTTTTCAACTGAAAGTGCTCAGAAGTTTTTCTCATAATGCTGTTGTTTTTTAGATGAAAAAATATGTTTATAGCATTCCTTATTGTTTTGTTAAATGTTGTTTTATTTATAGGAAGATTTAAATTGTTATTTGACTTATTGCTTGCTCCCCCTTGTAGTGTATCAGGTCTTGGAAAGACTTAACATGAGTTTGAAGTTAAATTTGTACAAATGCAGATGAAGCTGAAGTAGATGAAGTCGAAATCTGAACAATGTCCAGGAAAAAATTACAATGGTTTGTTTATTAACAGTATACACATGGTTGTTTGCCATTAGAGTGATTCTGAAGTGTTCATTTCTCTCTTTGTCATGATGAAAATTAAAGCTTTTGAAATTTCTTCTAGAAAATGTCCTCTTCTACATTGTGGTGGTTTGACACTGGCCAAAATTCCAGGCCCTCATTAAAGTTGTTCACTCACCTCCCCTGCTACAGCTGGGCAGAGGAGAGAAAATTTAACAAAGGGTTTCATGAGTTGAGATAAGGACCAGGAGAGAACATTCCAATGGCAAAACAGGCTCAACTTAAAGATATAAAGTGAAGTTATAACTAACAAAATCAGAGCAGGATAATGAGAAGTAAAATAAGCCCTTGAAGACACCTTTTTTCCTCCAGCCCCTGCCTCCTTCCCACTGACAGTGCAGGGAGACAAAGTGTGGGGGTTTTGGCCAGTTTGTCACCCAAGGTTTTCCTCTGCTGCACAGGGAGAGAAGTTGTTCCCCAGTGAAACTGTGGGGTCTCTCCCATGGGAGACAATTCTCCATTCACTTCTCCAGCACGGCTCCAATCTCTTGAGCAGCAGTCCTCCCAAAACTGCTGCAATGTGAGTCCCTCCCACGGGCAAACCATGCTCCCAGAACTGCTGTGGCATGGGTCTCTCTTCCATGGGGTGCAGTCCTCCAAGGACAGGCTGGTCCAACTTGGGAGCAAGACCTGTCTCTCCATGGGTTTGCTGCTGGACCACAACCTCCTCCAGGCATCCACCTGCTCTGGTGTGGGCACCTCCCCCATGGGCTTTGGGGGATCTCTGCATCCCCCATGGATCCCCATGGGCTGTGAGGGGATCTCTGCATCTCCCATGGATCCCCATGGGCTGTGAGGGGATCTCTGCATCTCCCATGGATCCCCATGGGCTGTGGGTGAAGAGCAGCTGCTTCACCATGGTCTCACCACAGCCTGCAGAGGAATCCCAGCTCCAGCATCTAGAGCACCTCCTCCTCCACTGACCTTGGTGTCTCCACATTGTTTCCCTCACATGTTCTTACCTCCTCCTCTTTTCTGGCTAGAATTGAAACTGTGCCCCCAACCTTTGTTTTGATTTCTTCCTAAATGTGTTAACACAGAGGTGTTGTCACCATCCCTAACTGGCCCGGGCTTGGCCAGTGGTACATCCATCTGCAGAGCCATCAGGGATTGGCTCTGCTGGACGTCATGGAAGCTTCTAGCAGCTTCTCACAGAAGCCACCTCTGCATCCCCTCTGCTACCAAAAACTATGCTCTGCAAAACCAATACACACATGACTGCTCCCAACTTCTTCAGCCATCTTCACAAACTAGGGGGCCTAGTTGGTAGCTGTTAGGGCAATGTGGCAATTTAAAGACAATTGAGGTCTTGTTTTGACCTATTTGTCCTGGGACAAATAGATAATTTATTAACCCCCAGGCCCCAGCAGAATGAAAATTCTGTTTTGAGTTAGGATGCCCAGGCTCTTTCTTGGCTGAGCAATACAATCTTACTTCTGACAGATTATGCCAGAGGCTTGAAGGTCGATCCTTGAGGAGATTGCTGAAGGCACATTGGGAGAGAAGTGTCTTTCAGGATCTCTCTCTGCTGCTCAGCATTGGTCTCTCCTGCAGAAGGAGGAATACAGATTTCTTGAAGCACCTGTATCTCTGCAGTCAGCTCTGATGTCTGGTTTGGAGCTGTGCATCTGTACACGTGCAGAAGTAACTCTCACTGCCTAGGTGGCAGACATAGAGTTCTAATGATGTTTGTTACATATTACCCAGCCAAATGAGGCTATATTAAATATTTTTACATGGAAATGTAATGTAATAAAATTAACAAGTGAAGAGATAATTTTGTTCTGCAATTACCTGCAGTTCCTTCAAGGTGGAGTTCTAAAGGTTTGAGTTGAGGTGACCCAGGCCTATAAATTTCAGAACCTTCCAGACAGTCATTTTCTATTGAGGTCAGGCTTTGTTTCAAGTGCCAAACACTGAGGACTGGCAGATGCATTAATTCCAGAGCTCTTCCTTGAATTCCCTGAGCTTCCACTGCAGCTGGTTCAAACACTTGACGTCTTCTAGTCCCTTACATCATGTTTGTTCAGTGTTAATTTGACAAAGTGCTTAATCTGAAACTGCTGTCTGGTCTGTCTTCATGTGAAAAGATTTTCACACTACTTTAATTTGGAAATCTCAGCACAGCAATAGTTCTGAGTAGTTAAAAGAATCCAAGAAAATAAAGCCTTTTCCTTGTTCAATAATGACTTTCTGTTCTGTCAAGTAAGATAGATGCTGGTCAAGAGTGTGATTCAGCCCAAGGCCTTAATGTTGTCTGGAGTAATTTTAAGAGAAAAAGAATATATGAAAATATTAAAGGTCTGAGAAAGTGAGATATTGTGAATTTCTCAGGCACTTCCAAAACTCATACAGCATTGCTAAACAATACCTTTGCATTTATGAATGTGTTAGTAAGTCTAATAAATGTGTATATTTAAATAAAGTTATTTTTAAAATAGCTTTGGTGTGGCATGAAGACACTTTTAATATTCTGTACTATTATTTAAGGCACATTAGTGCAGGATTCTGTATTTTAGATGTTTGACTTCACTTTAAGAGCTAATGAAATTGTATAATATTTTTATATTTAAAGAAATCTGTTTCCAGTACTTTTTCTAAGTGTCATTCACAAAAAAGTAACCTGGACTTTATTGACTTTTTCCTTTTTCAAATGGAAGATGTTATCTGAGTGGCTGTGTCTGGGTAACTTCAGAATTTGCAATTTGCATTGGAAAAAGTAGTCCAAAATCACATGATTAGTGATAAATATGTCAACAAACTTCCCATATGTAAACATGGAAGGAATTAAAAAAAAAAAATTACTTTGCTGCTAATTTTTTTAATGAAGTTATGAATTTCAGGAACTTTGCTATTACAGGTAGCATCGATTGCAGATGAAGCTGCACAATCAGAAGTGATAATTGATTCTCAAAAACGTAGGGAAATACTTTCAAGAAGGCCTTCATACCGGTAAGGACTTTTCATTTTGGTTTTGCTGGTTTTAAAGGCAGCTTATTCATTACAGCAAAACTGTCTGATAAAAGTCAGTTCTTTGATTTTCTTATGGGTATGGTTCTTCAAGTACATAAAATTACTTACATTCTCTTTTTAGAAAAATTTTGAATGAGCTCTCCTCAGATGCACCTGCAATAGCGAAGATTGAAGAAGAAGAGAAGTCAGAAGATGAAGGAACGCCTTCTGGTATTTCTGCAGTGGCCATGCCAACCAGCCTGTATCATACTAACACAGGGCAATACCGTATGTGTGCCATGTACTTTGTGATGATGCAGAGCATAGCTTAGCTTTGTCTCTAGGAATTAACTAATGCACTAGGCATGTTTGATTTTCATGAAGAAGAATAAGAGATTCTGTTTTTTAAGTAATTATTATTAATTTTTTCTAACATGGGGATTATAGACTTTTAGTCTTGTAGTATTTGTTGGCTGCTAAATTTAATCATTCTAGAGCTTCTATGCATTAAAATGTGGAAGTGAGGCTCAGCTGAAAGGAAAAATGTTGACACTTTTATGTGAATGTTTAATGATACAAATCATTGCAGTTTCAAATTCTTATGATTTGTTATGTATTAGTGCTATTCATTGTATGAAATGGCAAGTAGAGTTTTTTGAAATGTAAGTTTGGAGTATGAAATTACTTGTTAAGTTCCAATTTCCTTTCTTAAAAGAATTATGTCTTTTTGTCACCAGTTTTTAAGTATCTACATTTTCACCACAGAACTAATGTAAATCATGGTTTCCAGCATTTGATACATCATCCAAATGCAAGTTAAAAGTTATGTTCACAGTTCTGTTCTATAGATTTGCTTTTGGATATTTTTATTCCTGTATTTATCGTAGCAGTGTTGCATAACTTGCACTCTGTGGCTTCTTTGGACATAATCAGTTATCAGTTTGGATAACTTTGTAATAACAACTCCTTTTAAAATCATGTATTTTATAAAGCTACACACTCCTACAGTTTGTAGGGGTTTTTCATGTCTTTTCATAAGTAGACACGCTAAAGTGCAGGTGTTTTTCCTGTGATATAATGACAGGAAGATTGCATAAGAAATGTTGTGGAGTTTATTTCCTGAAATGAGAAAACAGAGGAAGTCTATTAAAACACTGCAGTGGCATATAGAAGAGGATAGAATGGCTCTAGTAGTGTTCTACTCACCCTTAGAATTCTTCAGTTATTTTTAATTTAGGCAAATAACTAATTATTAATGATGCGAATACAGAATTTGCCTATATGATCTGTCTTTTCAGCATAGAAAGTAATTTTGCTTGTGCCCCTAGGCTGCTTTTCTTACCCTTTCTGTAAGCTTTAGACATAAATAAATGTTTGCTGTGTGATGTCCAGCATCTGAAGTGTTCTTTTCTGTGGAAAAGAATACCATCATCCTAAATTACTACTATTCAGTGCAGAATCCAGCATGTATTAATGTATTCTTGTATTCTAAGAAAAATTAAATATTTTTCTTCCATTTTTGAATTGTATTTTTGATTTTGCTTAGATTTGATTAAGAATATATATATTTGCCATTTCAAGGCTTAAAAAAAAAAGTGTAATAATGTCTGTGTATTACTTAGTGAGCCTGTAAACCTGTAGGATTTCTAAGAAATTTTAGAGCTTAGGTTTAATCGTGCCTTTCTCTGGGAAGCCAAAGTTGTACTTTGACCATAATGTCTTGCAGGAGGTGATTCTTAGGGGAATATATTTTCATTTAAACACACCTATAAACAATAGTGATAGGGAAGTGTTTCACTGAATAACAAAATTCACAGGTTTTTGTTTCTTGTTCAATCAGACATTTACTTCTGAAAATTAAGCAACAGAGAGCATCACTGACAATGTGAGAACAGAATCCACAAAAATTTAATTAAATCTCATGTGTTTTAATTTAAACTTGGCTATAAGCCAAGCTTGGGAGATTTCTGTTCTTTGCTGCTTTTTCTTTGACTAAGTTATAGTTGTAGCATAAAACATGTGCTGTATAATTAAGGTTCTCATTATAATGGAGCATTGCTTCAAAATGCAATGTCAGCCTTCATGGACTCTCTTGGTTTTGGCTCAAAAACTTTGTTTTGAGAGCTTTTTCTTTTTGGAAATAGTTTTTTTTTTTTTTTTTTTTGCTGAATTTAAGAGTTCATTAATTAGATTTCTTTTTTTAAGTTCACTTTTGTAAGTTACAATACACTTTTGTAAGTTAAAATACTTTGCCTCAGCAAAGTCTGTGTATTTTAATGAGGCCAGGTGGTAGCAAGGATGGTCATTGCCCTGTAATAAAAGGGGTCTTAATTTGGAACCTGCTGAAGAGAGCTTGACTGTTGACCCCTAGTATTTCCATATATGAAGCATGGATCTGAAGCATCTCTGAGCCATCCTGTTGGTTGCCTGTAATCCTCAGGAACTAAAACCAGGAGCACTGGGTGGGAATGTAGCAAATCCAGTGTTGATTTTAGACTGGATATGATGCAGAGGGTCACTCCATGTAACTCCCTCATCTTTGTGCCTCCTGTCAGTAGCTCTGTGCTTCTGCCTGTTGTTCCTGTGCCTGAGGACTCCTCTGTCCCTGGCCAGCATGGGCTGCCCAGGTTCTGCTGTGCAGGCACCCAGGAGTTTGTGCATTAAGCTTGTGCAGTGTCCGTGGCAGTGAAGAGCTGGCCTTGTGGTGTCACCATCTGTACTGTGCCCTGCTTTAAAAGAGGTGTTATGTTATTACATTTGCTGGTTCCTTTTTTCATCTGCTGTTCTCTCTATTCCTGTAAAGGAAGGGCAATTTGAAAAGATCATTTTGACTGTGTGTTTATGTCTGGATGTCTGGGATGACTCTTTTTGGAAGAACTTTATAAGTAAATAGTTCTGGAAAACAAATGTATTTTTGTCTATTAACAGCATTGATGGCTGTTCTCTACTTACTTTTCACCAGGCAAAATGATATGTTGCCATGGTTTCCCAATACCTTTTTCCTTGGAGCTTCTTGGCTTTGGCTTTGGAAGCAGACAGACTGACATGACAGGATAAAATGTTATCTTTACCAGCTACCTCCATCAACATACATGTGATCTTTTTGCCAGGCAAATGGGTAGTTTTGCACTCTTGTGTAGGAGCCTTGTATTCTTATCTGACTACACACCTACTCTGTTGGCTCTAGTTCTGTCATGTTGGTTATTTAATACTGAAAAAAATTACTTCCCTCACCTGTGGTAGTGGTCTAATGTGTAAGAGTTGTTCGTTCAGTTGGAGTGTGTGAATCAGTCTCCCCATCCCCCTGCCTGCTTGTGAATATCATGATCTGCATGAAAAAATGCAGGGGGAATGAAAATTATTAAATCTTAATCTGTTTGAGTTACTTGCTGTCTTCGAACAAACTTTTAACAATTGGAGAATTAAGAAATCTTTTGGGAAAACTAACTTTAGTTCCATTTCCAGTTTTGGAAGGGAAAAAGATCTGGGGTTTTTTTCTGGATTAGAGCTGATGATCATACTCAGAGGGTGGTATTAGTACTGTCCTCCCTCCTAGTTGGAAGAGAAGATGCTGGTTGCATCCATCCACCTGCATGACATTCAGCTACAGGGACTGTCCAGGAAAGTCTTGTACTCATCATAAAAGTCTCAGTTTCCAGTAGAGCTCCAGCACAACAAATGTGTGCAGTGGTTGAGATCAGGACACTGGATGGGGGACAGGCAGTATGTTGTTCTGGGAATATGGCAGGAATCAGTCCTGTAAAGGAGGCAGCTACTGGAGTTAATTCACTTTTGTTTATAAAGTACTGGGTTGGGATCTGAATGAATAATTGCTGGACAGCTGCGATATAATTGTTTACCCAGGTTTACTGTGGAGCTAAGAGCTTTTTATCAATCTGTGCTGATGTTTTACTGCTTAGGAAGCCAGACTGTCTGGGTTTTATGTGGTAGGGTTCTGTGGGGGTGTAGATGCTCCACCATTCCTGGTGCTAACTCTGAGAGGCAGAATTTGGCTCTTTTTAACTTGTCTGGGAGGCAGAGTTGAAACAAAACAAAAATCTTGTTGCTATTGTCCTGGACTTTGTGAAGAGTAGGGGATACAATGCTTTACTTTTGTTGCTTCTCTCTGTTTTGTCTTGCCTTAAAATGGGGCACTTTCTGCTTTGGAGGCCAGACTGAAACATCTTGCACTCTACCCCTTGCCATACTCCTCCCCTTCTCCTCAATGCCTTATGGAGCCTGCGTGCAGCACCCAACCTACTGTTGCCAAAACAGAACATTTGAACTCAGCAATCTCTAAAATTCACATAGGTATCTAACAAATCCTGTATTGAGATAAGCAGAGCTGAACCTTCAAGAATGGCATCAAATACTGTAATCTGACAGTGAATTCAGAGAAGTTGGCAAGTCTCAATCTTTTTTTACGTCTGACTTTTATAGCATAGTTTAAATATCTTCTGGGGGAGAAGAGATTTTTTACTCTTTGGGCATTGGGTTCTCAGCTGAAAGTTTCAGGATTGCTTTAATTAACACAGGAGATGTGGATTTGGCTGGTGAATCACTTGGTAGATAAGGAGTTGGCTCCAAGAGCTCCAGTCAATAGCTTGATGCTCAGGTGGAGGCCAGCAATGAGTGGTGTCCTTCAAAGATCTGGGACCAGTATTATTTTGTATCTTTGGTTGGAGATGTAGAATCTTTGTGGAGATGCACCTTCAGAAAGTTTGCAGGTGACACCAGGCTGAATGATGCAGTTGATGCTCAAAGCTCAGTAGAGAGAAGGGATCCCATGCAAAGGGACTGTGACAGAGTAGAGAGGTGGACCCATGCAAACCTCATGATAAGGCCAATGCCCATCATCAATACACAGCATCCTGTGTATCGGTTTTGGCAATCCTAAATGTGGATATAGGCTGAGCAATGAGTGGATTGAGGACCTGGATGTGCTGGTGGCTGAAACACTGACTATGAGCTGGCAATGTGTGCTTGCAGCCTAGAAAGCCAGCCAGATCTTAGGCTGCATCCAAAGCAGGGTGGGCAGCAGATCAAGGGATGCAATTCTGCCCCTCCACTCTGGTGAGACCCCACCTGGAGTGCAGCATCCAGCTCTGAGTTTCCAGCACGAGACAGACATGGACTTGCTTGAACAGTCCAGAGTTAGAGTTAGATGATCTTGAAGGTCCCTTCCAACTCAAGCCCCATTCTGTGATTCAATGATATTTCTGTGTTTAACAAAGGCAATGCTAATTTCAAAAGGAATATACAATTAATGATGTCTCTAGGGAATTGCATTTTGATAAATACTTGATTATGGCAAGAAGACAGTATGATTTTTATTAATGGGGAAAGTATATTTGTTTTTTTTTATATTGCTATTACATTGAGGGAAGAACCCTACTTTGTTCTGTTTCTTTTTTTACATGAGTATTGGGCTCTGTACAACTGTGTACAACCTGGTTAAAAGTTGTGCTAAACTTTTTCTTACACTAAGGAAAAGATTATTAGTGTTAGATATCTTTCTTTTCCTTTGTCTTGATGTCCTGGATTTTGTTTTCTGAGAGTCAATAAATGGCTTTTTTAAGATTTTTTTTTTAAATAACTCCTATGTTAGTATTTAAAACATCACTTTTATATGGCTAGGAGCTATGATTTTTCCCCACATATTTAAACTATTTTAGTAGAGTTACTATTTCTGGAAACATAGACATAAAATGTGTCAAACACGGCTTTTTATCTGCTATGTGTATGGTATATACTACACAACAGACTTTATATTTGTGGAAATCAGTATTAATATTATCTAAGTTTTATCATACAATTGATCCTTAAGCAAGGAGAGGACCAGGAGTCCATAAGACAGTGTTTATTGCATGATTTTTAGCATGTGTTATGTCTTTCTGTTGCCTAACTTCTCTTTTTTTTTTTTTTTTTCCTGTTTAGTTACCATATCTCAAGGTGGTACAATTCAGACTGTGACAAATTCGGGAGCTCCTCAGCCAGGTGCTACCATTGTGCAATACGCAGCACAGTCATCTGATGGCACACAGCAGTTTTTTCTTCCTGGAAGCCAAGTTGTTGTTCAAGGTATATTTTAATAGTCTAGTTTGTTTTCATTTTTTCATATTAAACAGTTTTTCTTAAAGCTTTTCTTATTTTGTGTTGACATTATTGCACCATTAAATAAAATACTCATAGCAAGATAGAAGAGTCTTAGGAAGGGATTCAGGTTCTCTGCCTAGTAAGTAACTGCTACTGTGTTTGGTTAAAAAGAGTGAAATAGCAGTATAACATCACTTTCTGCTTTGAATTGTCCTTTGCAGATTTTGAGGCATGTTTAATTGGAATAAAGGTACTCCTACAGATTGAAGTGAGATGCTGAAGGTGCACATCATTTAATATATGAAACTAATTTGTTTTTTTCAGCAGTTAATGTTAATAAAACGCAAATTCTGAAGATTCTGGGATATGTTTAGGGGAGAATTTCCTTTCAACTTATGGCTCTTGCAGTTACTAGAAAGCAGATCCTTTAATGAAGCTAGTTTTCTCACAGAGGAATGCTTTGAAGGTCCTATAAAGTGCACACATGACGTGATGAAAACCTTTGAAAATGGGAGATAGATTTTTCTATGGAGACACTAAATTAATAGCTATGGAGAATATACAGATTTAAAAAAAAAATATTGACAGAGAGAAGTAGGGGGGAGGGCTGTATGAATACTTTCTTAAGCCAAAACAGCTATCTGAAATAAGCCATGAGAAGAGCTAGGAAGGATTTAGATATGTATTCATGGAGTGGATGAGGATCATCAAATAAATGTCAAAATACATTGTTGTCCCAAGACTTTTCCAGAAGCATTTCAAGTGCTTTAAGACTATAAAATGAAAACACCTTAGCTAAATGTTAAGTTTTTATTGTTCAGAGAGTATTGTTACAACTTCCCAAAATGTTATTATCAATACATACTTAACAAAATCTTAAGACCCAAATTTGGCTGTCCCCCAAACCAATTTCCCACTCTAGTACTGCATGTTGTTCTGAGTATGAGTCTAATATGTTTTCTGTGTGTGTGCCTATACATCCCTTAAATCAGAGGCTGCCTCCATCTCTCCAGGTTCCCTGTAGTATTTTATAGGTACTGCTTTGATTCTTCAGAGCTTTGGTGTCAGGGGCAGAAAGAATAACTTCTCAGCTGCTTCTTAAACTTCCCATCTGTGAAGAAGCACAGCATTTGAGGATTTTGTCTGGCAGCATTTCAGTCCTTGGGCATTCCATTTGACTGATTTTTCCCTTACAGACTCTCCATTACAGAGCTGTTCTCTGACAGGGCTGCTCAGTCTCAGCAAAGGGCTCCACAAGATGGAATTGCCCTTTAAGTGTTTTGCCTGTGATGGAAACTTTCAAAATGGATTCAGAGACAGTAACTGAATACCTTCTACATCATGTTTCTGGAAACATCTTGATACTTTTAACTAAATTGATTTGTTCTCTGTCCATGCTCAGAGAAGTTTATTTCCTGGAATTCTCTATTCCTTTGATTCAAAGTCCAGTGCTTTAGTGAGCCTCATAGCTCGGTAAAAAATGTGACATAACGTACAGGGAAAAGTACAAAGCAAACAGTAAATGAGCATGAACTTGGAGATGATGAGAAGATAAAAGGCTTCAACTTATTCTACATGCTATTGATATTAGAAAATCTTTAGGAAAAAACAAAACATCTACAGTAAAATAAAAAGATGTATAAAAACATTGTGAAAATGTTTACAGTAATACAATTGTATGAAGGCAGCAAACGTGAGTTAATTACAATGGAGTGGGACAATGGAATAAGCTGAATATACAAGTGTCTGAAATGTCCTTATTAGAGCTCATCTTGCCTATGCCAGAAAGTCTGTTGGCATACAGGTTAGGAACATTTGTCATTTATGTACACTTTGTAGTTGACTGTTCACCTAATATTGTGATAACATAGATTATAATAGAAAAATTATTCTGCTTAGTAATCCTACCACTTACATATGTATTTTGGGTAGGCAGCATATAATTTATTTTCTTTATCATAGTAGAAGAAAAGACTATAACAAATAGCTGGAAACAGAAAAGATCTGTTTCAGATTCTGTTTCAGAATCTTTCAGATAGCATATGTATTGATTTTTTTTCTAAAGTATTTGTTAATGAATCTCATGTAATAATGGATAAGATCACATAAACCCTGTGTTTGGTATTTTCTGATAACCTGTGGTGTGGAAAAATACTAGGATAAAAGTGCCAAATATATTGATCCGATTGAGTTACATTGTATTTGCTACAAGTTTACATTGGTAGGCAAAAGAAGAGGCAGTTCTAGTGTCTGGGCAGTTTCCTAACACGTTAAGGGTTAAGGATTTTTTTGCTAGCTGAAGAAGGAAGTGTTTTGATTATTAGTGAAAGTAAGTGTAGAAAAGTTATATAAAACTAATTCTGTTGGGATCTATTTGTATTTATGTTACAATGTTAGTGATATTTGAAATCTGTGGCTTGAACTTCTTGTGCTTTAGTTCTGATCTTCTGTACATATGATCCTGAAGTGCTCCTATAATCACAGAGCACTCCTGTAAACACAGGATGTAAAACACAGAACATCAATGCAAACATTGATGCTTCCACTGCTGCCATCCAGCACAGTTTCACAGTTGATAAATTACCACTCTGAGTTAGTTTAGTACAAAGACCTTAGAAGTTTGCTGTGCACTACATACAAACCAGTGCTTGGACTCTTTGTCTGGAACTATTTCATTTGTATTGAAATGAATGTATTTCATTTGTATTGAAATGTATTTGTAAATAAGGAGTAACTCTCTTACAGCTGAGTTGTTGTTCTTTTTAATTTATATTTTAAAGCAGAGTCAAACAGATCTCTTGGACATATTTTGAAAAAGGAGGGAAGGGGGAAGAGGTAGCCTTTACCCAGAGTTACTGTTCTGCTTGTTACAGCATCTGAAACCACTTGGTTTAGGTTGACTTACTTCATTGGAGTGTTCCTTAATAATTTCTGAAGCTTTTAACTGAAATTAAATGAGTGGGTTGTGGGTTTTCCTGCAAAGCAAGGAGCTCTAGCCTTTCATTTACCTATTTGTTACAGCTTATTAAGCTTTCCTGTCTTGCATGCCTGTCCAACAGAGTTCTCTGCCTTTTAGTGGAACTGTTCCAATGAAAACAACTGCATGTCTGTTTTAAATTTCCTTATTTTCTATCCAATCATGACTTTATCATTTGGATTCATTCATGAATGCTAGAGCCACGTTTTCATTTCTGTCAGTCAGTGCTGTGAATTTTCAGGTCTTTCTTAACAGCCTGCTTTGTGGTGAGTGCTTTCTGTAGCTTTATGAATAATTCAGGGGAAAAGAACAAAGCTAGGATTATAGCAATATGGAAGAGGAAAAAAAAACCAGGTTTACTGGAAAAGGAATTCTTTGGGCTGCAGTTTCAGTGAGCTGTTCCAGTGATGGAGCACGTTAATGACAGCGGTAAGCAAGTGAGGTCATTGTGATGTCAGTGCTCTTGCTTGTAATCCTGCACATGCTTGGTAGTTTGGAACAGTTCATGCTGAGCTCTGGTAGAGGAGCAGCAGAATCGTGTGTGCAGAAGTTGATCATGGCTGTAACAGGAGATGAAACAGGTAAAAATTTTGTTAGCCTTTGACATGGTATTTTTGTATGTCTGTGCAGTGTTTAGTTAATATTTGTGGCATTTTCTTTTGAACCTGTTGCTGTAATTCTTTCATCTCTCTAAAGTCATGCAAATAGCTTCTAATTCTCTCTACTTAGTGTAGGACTCCAGGGCAATTTTAACAGTTTTGTTTGTGGGGGAAAAACTAAAAATCACTGTTAGTGCATGAGTTTTTGCACAGATTGATTCAGTAACTGTTCTTTATTACTTGATGCAGGATTTTGCTGAAAACAATCCACCACGCTACTTTTGCATTTTTCTTTATTGTGGTGATAGTCATATATGTTGCTGTGTTTATAATTGCTTTTGGTTTTGTAAAAATGACAACTGCCTTTTTTATTGAGCAATAGACGCTACAAATTTGATAGCCATGGGCTTCATCCTAGCGTGTAAATCAACCCTATGCTCCGAGTATTAAAAAACACTGAATGGAAACAGATTTGAGGGCAATAATTGAAGTACTGTAACGCCTGCTTGTTTTCTCCTGCACTGTTAAAATGGTCTGTTCCTCAGCTAATTGAGTTCAAAAGGCTGACGTCATTAGATTTCCTGGAATCGTGTTGCAGTAGGGAACTGGAAAAGTTAAACTCCAAACAAGATACACATTGACGTCAGCTCCAAGTCATGCTGCGATTTAGTCAGTTCCTTTCTGCCTCGTCAATTGCCTCCGGCAGCTCGGTAACATTAACTGCTTCCCTGCCGGCTCCTACGTGCTGCTGCTCACTGCTGCCGCACGTTGTTTCATTAATCCAAAGATAAATATCTTCTCAGGGTCGATGTATTTAATGCTCAAAGGGATAATGATTCATGCCTTGTGTAGCCAGTTTAGTGGTGAAGTTAAAAACCCCTTGATAATCAAGTCCCACCATTATGACTCACAGAGGGGGAGAATAGGCATCCAAATACATCGGGCGTTTTTTCTCCTGGATAGTCACTGAAAGAACTGAGTGCAGGGATGCTCTCTAGTGTTCAGCAAGTTACTTTTTCCAAGAGGTGATTGCTTTTTTATTTTAATTTTTTTTTTAATGCATGTTTGTTTTTTTTCACTAGTTGTCTTTTGGCTTTCTTAATTTCCTTTATGTAAGTCTCAACTAAAAGCTTCAGGTTTTCAGTGACTTTTAATCCCTTGCATTTTAAGGGGTAAAAAAAAAATAAAAATTACCCAGGGCAATGCATTAGGGAAATGGACCAACTCGAGGTTTGTTGCTTTGTTAACACTCTCAGTTCTGTTTCTGGTACCTTAGGAATTACATTAGACCTTGGTGAAGTGTCATTAGAAACAGCCAAAGAAGTTTGGCAGTCTGGATGAAGTGTGTGGGACATTTGTCTCAGATGCTGAAATGGAAGGTATTCTTCACTGTAATATAGATACATAATTAGGCTTAAAATAACTTTGAAAAAAATTAAATTTATCCCACTATGTTTAGAACCTGTTTCATCTTTCCAAAGGTCTTTTTCTGGGGAAGTCAGTTACATTGTAATTTCTTGAGCTAATACACAAAACATTTTTCAATCTTCAAAATATATTTTTGCAATGATATATAGGAAAATATGTATTATTGCACAGTTAAAAGATACTTTGTTAGTGCTATGCTATGCTTTTTTCTTGTTTCTAAACAGTGGTGTCTGGATTGGCAAGGTCAGTACCACCAGAATAGTTATTTATCTGTGTTCCTGTGCTGGCAGGTTTATAATTGAGACAAATGTCAGGCAGAGACTGCCACTACTAGGACCTGCTCAGACTAGAACATTTACCAGTGGTGTTTGCTGATCCCAGCTGAGATAGGGACTTGCTTTTGTTAAGTCTTGCTGAAGGTACATGATCACTCTGAGTCCTCTGCACAAAAGCTGCAGTAAGTTCTGTTTGCTGCCATCTGAGCTTAAGTCAAACACAGACAACAAATTAGTTGGTCTTGCCAGGCTGAGGTGATCTGGGTTGTGGAGCTTTCCCACCATGACTTCATCTACAGAATGGTTTGCTTGGATTTCTAATTCATTGTAGCTAAGGCAAATTGAGGTAACATCTCTTTAATAATGCCTAGTGATGAGATAGGAAAAGATAGTTCTTACCATAAAGTCTGTAAGATGTATGTAATGTGGGCAGCATAAAGGTGAGCCTGAAGAGTTGCTAAAATTCCACTTTTATAGTTAGTGAGCTGAGGTACCATTCCATTGACATGACTGGGACTGCTAAGAAATGTGGAGGATTTGAAGGGTTAAGCAATTCCCCTGTAGATGTACAAGATGACCAAGCCCTGTGTTCAGGGCAGCTGCCTGTCATTGCTCACAGGGCTGTTCTGAGCTGATTTCCCCCTCCCTCTCTCCCTCCCACATCCCCGGGGGATTATCCAGGTCAGTTCACTGGTCCAGTTCATCTTGTAATTCCACAAACACTTTTACCCACAGGACTGAGGAGGGGGGGAGGTGCATGGGGTTTAAGCTGATAATGATTTCAGGACATGGCTGTGGAATTGTAGTCTAAGCACAACTTGATTCTATTTTTTTGTTTGTTTTGAACTAGTGAAGCACTTATATTAATATAGTAAGAATAATAGTATATTTTTATTAGATTTATTTTTCCCCCCTATAGTTAACTGCTCAATCTGTCAGCCTCCCCAAGATGTTTTTGTCTACCTTTTATTTTTCCAAATTGACCTGGTGTCAGTTGGGATAGAGTTAATTTTCTTCCTATTAGCTGGTACAGTGCTGTTTTTTGGTTTTAGGATGAGAGAGGTGTTGATAGCTCACTCATGGTTTGGTTGTTGCTCAGCAGTAGTTGCACTCAGTCAGGGACTTTCCAGCCTCTCATAGTCTGTCAGTGAGTAGGCTGGGGGTGCACTCAGAGCTGTGGGGGATCACATCCAGAGCAGCTGACCCCAGATAGCCAGAGGGATATTCCATACCTAAGGCATCATGCTCAGCATATAAACTGGAGGGAAAGCTGGCCTGGGGCCTGCTGCTCAGCAACAGGCTGGCCATCAGTTGGTGAGTGGTAAACAATTGCTTCTAATTTGCATTAATTATTTTTCTTGGGTTTATTTCTCTTTCTTTTTGTTATTTTCCTTTTCATTTTATTTTATTTCCATCAAACTGTTCCCTTCTCAACCTATGAGTTTGCTCTACCTCATCCAGCTGGGGAGCTGTGTGGGTGGAGTGAACAAGTGACTGACTGTGTGGTGCCTAGTTGCAGGCTGGGGTTAAACTGTGAGACATGTTTTTCCATTATTTGAATAATGCTTTGGAGAATTAAAGTATAAAATAAGTGTAACAATAGCCTCTGAAACATCAACTGTATTCAGTTGCTTTAATGACAAAATTTGAATTTTTGTTCTATCATAATATAAAATATTTATGGAAGGAAATAGGTAAATACTTGCTCAGAATGTAAAGAGGGGTATGTTTTTTGTTTGGTTTTGTTTTCTGTCAGACAAGACACAAGTACTTAGGACTTCCCCAGTGTTTTTAAGTTGAGGTACATCACGTAGGGACAAGTACATCTGAAACAAAGAAATGACGTGAGACTGTAAGAAAGGTGTTGGTTTCCAGTCATATCAGATCAGCATTTGGCTTGGGGAGGGCACAAAACTGCTAAGCTGGAGCTGAATCTGAACTTTTGCCCTCTGATTTACTGTGCAGCTACACTCCTTTCTGTGCAACTGCCACTGCTTCCTGTTGCTGCTAATGCTGCAGCATCCCATGTGTGGTCCTCTTGCCCAGGGAACAAATGCCTGAATATCCTGAGCACTTGTCTGTTTCTTTTCATTGTAGCAACAGCAACTCTTACTCCTTATCCAAGGGTTGCCAAACTGCTTTTGTAAGAGGAGGAGAGGCTGTAAAGCTGGTACTGTTGCTATCACAAGGAAGGAGGAGAAAGTTGTCTTCTGAAGCAAATTGAATCCTGTGCAGGGAGAACAGGGAAGCATATAAACGTCAGTTTAGATGCAGGGCCTTCTTTTTGTGGGATTGTGCAAACAGGAAGTGTCACTGCCAGAACTGTTTCTCAGACTGCTTTTCCCTTGTTGTATGAAGAGAGCCATGTGGAAGCATGTCCAGCTGGCTACTGGGGCCACGTGCTAGAGCAATTCAGACACTTGACAGTATGGAAATAAATGCTATTAAGATAAAAAATACAGTTGTGTCATGACAGACGTGTGAAATAATTTATGTATCTGGGATCCTGGATAAATCATTGTCAGAAATCTGTTATTTTCAGATATACTTCTTTTTTTTGCCATAGATTTTAAAATATGTTTCTTTTATACAGCTGCCACTGGAGACATGCCAGCTTACCAGATCCGAACTCCCACTACTACCTTACCTCAGGGAGTGGTTATGGCAGCCTCGCCAGGGACTCTGCACAGCCCTCAGCAAATGGCAGAAGAGGCCACACGCAAGAGAGAGCTGAGACTTTTGAAAAATAGGTAAGACTATACAATAATTCATGGTCAGTGTTGGAAACTACCTCCCCCACCCCCCAAACATTATAACAAAGTGTTCTTCTTAAGGTCATAAGCACTGCCTGTAATTGATGAAGGGAAGGCAGGAAATTCTTTTCAGTCATCCCATGTCCTTCTAGCATAGAGTATTGGTTGTTAACTCTGTCCTTATAGCCATGGATTTTTAGTTTGAAAATATTAGGTGATTCAGAAATCAATATCAGATAATTTTTGTGATGATCCAGAGTTACACTTTTTGTTGCATTTTACTTCCTGTCCTCTCCCACTACTGACAGTAAAATGACCAGTAGGGCCTCTTTCATTTTAAAGCATCCCCACAAAGAATTGTTTAGGAAAATAGCTGAGGATCTCATTAGCAGCTGTCCATTAATGATGCTGTGAAGAGGACTTATTCAAAGATGGAATGATAATTATAGACTTTGCCAAATACTTGGCTGCTGGGATGAGATACTTTGCAGTGCCCCTGTCATTTTGTGAGGCCCATTGTGTGAAGTTGCTGTATATTTTTTAATTAGTTGTCATGGACTTGACTGAGTGTTGTAAATGTCAGTCTTTCTCTGTGCAGTCTTCTTGCTATTCCTTGGGGAGTCTGTCTTTTTAAAATGTGTAGCCACCTCTGTCATTGGCAGATTAATAGTAGAAATAGTCTGCTCTGCAGATCTCTAATACACTGCTTAGCCACTTGTCTTATAATTGAATTAATGGTATTGCTTTGCTCTCATGCCTGTTCTTTATTTTAAATTACTTACAAGGATCACTGCATTGTTGTGCCTCCTTTTTATTTCTTCTTCCTTCAGTTTTAAAACTAATGCCTATGCTATAGCTCGTAGCTTGCTGGAATGTTAGCCTCTCACAATTTGGTAGTTTGTCATGTTCCAAGGTAGTAAAGGAGGACTCCCAGTACTTCTAATATTTCTTCTGGAATTGAATGCTTGTTTAGTCACTTGCTTCTGAGCACACTAGCCAAAGCGTTTAGCTCAAATATTAGAGACTTTTGAGCAGAACTACAAAAATGGCTTCAGGCTATCATTTGCCAGCAACAAAAACTACAGACTCGTGTGGCTGTAATGTGCTCAGGCAGCCAGTTCTGAAATGCTAATAAATTGTATTTGTTTGGATTAAATTGTATTGTACATTGTTACAATATGCTGTGAGTTTTTATCTACATGTAAGCTTGGCATCTAGTTTTTATCTGAAGAGAGTAGTGTTATGTTTGTGTTTTTCTGAAAGTATATTCTCTGGGTTTGGTTTTAAGATTTTGATGGCAGAAGACAATGCTCCCGATAAACAGACAAAGTAGAATGTGGCTGGAAGAAGAAATGCTGCTTTCCATCCTAATGTTTAGTGCAACTCAAGTCAATACATCATCAATTACTCCCTGTTTTTCTCGATTCTTCTGTGTATTGGTTCCATCTTTGTATTTGGTGATGCTGGATGCGTTTCAAGTTCTAGATGCTTTGGATTATATTTTAACTATGTTACTGCTTTTGGATGTTATCCGATGTTCTGTTTGTGCAATCCAGCAGTTGGTGGTGGTGGTTGTTGTTATTGTGGAACCACAGGGTTTGCAGGTAATTGCATTTATCCAGTCTTTGCCATATTGTGGCTGTTCCTGTAGTCATTTGCCTTGTATTGGTTCCAGGGAAGCTGCCAGAGAATGTCGCAGAAAGAAGAAAGAATATGTCAAATGTCTTGAAAATCGTGTGGCTGTGCTTGAAAACCAAAACAAGACTCTCATTGAGGAACTCAAGGCCCTCAAAGATCTTTATTGTCATAAAGCAGAATAACTGTCTTTCATTTGGACCTCCTTTATTATGAACTTTAATCAAGGCATGAGAGGAAGCAATTCTACAGATTGCCATATGAACTTGAGAAAGAGACACTTGAGGCCCTTGTGGAACCCAGTTTTGCTTAGTGTTTTCAGACTGATTTGGGAGATATTCCAAAATTTGGAATTCTGTCATAGTCTCCATACTCTGCTGAGCTTTCTAATGGCATGCAAATGGCTTTTTTGTTTGCACTTTTTACTTCTGCTTTTTGCAGGGAAGCTGCTAAAGAATGTCGACGTCGGAAGAAAGAATACATAAAATGTCTGGAGAGTCGTGTTGCAGTGCTAGAAGTTCAGAACAAGAAACTTATACAGGAGCTTGAAACCCTAAAAGACATTTGCTCTTCCAAAACAGATTAGTAAAAATATTTATTATACTGTGAACTAAGATATGTCCAGTTGCTTTGTAAGACAATACATAGCCAACATGACTTACAGCTTTCTCTTTGTGTCATTTATAATATATTCCAACTCCTAACATTCCTGAATGCTTTCCTGCTTTTTATCAATTCATAGCTCTAATTTCAGGTTTTTCATGCACCATCCTTCTGTCTCCCAAGGAGCCAAATGTTAAAAAATATAACAAAGTAAAAAAGTGCATAATTTCTAAGAGCTGTTTCTTTGCCATGTATTTACAAATTACTTTTACATGTTACTGAGTGTCCTGCACATTCAAAATATTTTGCAATTGTTTTAGATGAATCATAAAGATAATGCATCCAGTAATACAAGAAAATCAAACAACCCAAGGTATCTCAGGAAAGAGTTTATAAAAGAATGTTATGATTATATGTATGTACTAGCATACTAGTCTACAGATGATTTTATGGCATATTTTTATATTAGTTGCTTTGTGGAAAAAAGTATTGTATTGCTGTCACTGAGTGCCATGGTTAAAGATAGTTTTTAATAGAACCATGTTGTTTAACCTGTGTAGTGTCTGATTTCCTTTAAAAACCTGGTTGAGATGCTTTAAAATCCATGAGTATCTGAAAGAAGACAAAGGGAAAAAAGCACACCTAAGCTCATGACATGATGCTAAATATATTGTAAATACCTGTAAGATGCTCTCTGTTATATGGCTGCTATTTACTTAAATTTTCTGTATTCTGCAGAATATTTGATTCACTGGAGGTCTATATATTAAAATTTAAATGTTCATCCTGAATACTTCACATTCTAGATCCTGAACACCTGTAGATAGTTGCCTGTAGTGAAGATTGATGGTGCAGTTCTTTTCACAATTTCAGCAAACTACTGAATGGTGGTCAAGGTGTCCTAAGGAAGAGAGCTTTCCAATAAGTAACTATTTGCTGATTCACTGAGTTCTGGAGTAGCCTACAGATGAGAGCTGAAGATTTTTAAAATAAACCCATGTTTAAACCAGATTACAGCTCTCTTAAATGCAGTACGTGCCAACTTTCCATTGTGCTTTGAAAAAACTAGTGTATATGCAAAGTTGCTTCTGGGTACTTTTTAAATTCAGGAGTGATCTAATTGTTTGGCCAGTACAGTCTATGAGCAGAGTATTTGGGAACTTTGCTGGAACTAATGGCCTTACTGATGTGGTAGGAGGAGAGGCCTGTTTCCTACTTAATTGGCTTTACTGAGGGTGTGTGTGTGAGAGAGTGTGAGTGTATGGAAGGGGAGGAGGGGTGGAATCATACTGAAGTCATTGAGACTTCCTAATTTAATTTAAACTCAATTTGCATTTAACCCTCTTCACTCTGACCCTGTTGGAGTGGGTTGGTTTATGTATATGATTTTTTTATTCTTTCCTAAATTACTTGAAATACACAGGATAATTTTCTTGACTATTTTGAAAATCCCACTAGGTACCTAAGTTGACATCATTTGTAAGAAGAGGTATTCTCTCTCACTTCCTGCAGCCACATCAGTTGGTTTAAGGAGGTAACAAGATACCTCTGACCTCTAAGGCTCTGATGCAGGTTTGGAACAAAAGTAAAGTAAACTTTGAAATATCTTCTTTGCTGTGAAAATACATCTGAAGTGCTAAGGTCAGCAAAAGTCAAAGGTTCTGTTCATGTTGGACAGGATGAATGCAACCTGCAGATCCATTTTGCAGCCTCTGTAGTGCAACAAGTGAGTTGTTTGTTGTGGCTCTGTCTGTTTTCTGTTACAGGTAGGCATTGCTCCTGACTCACAAGGGATTTGGAAACTTAAATAGAGAAAAACTTGTGTGTGTGGTAGGTATGTCTCCAGTAAAAATTCCCCTTTATCTTCACGATAGTGTCTGGTTCTAACTACAGTCTGGTACTAAACTACAGTTAGAAATTTGATGGGAGGAATCCTTGTCTATTCCACATCTGTGTACTTGGTACTCATTTCTTTACTAGTAGAATCATAGAATGGTTTGGGTTGGAAGGAACCTTAAAGATCACCTAGTTCTAAACCCCCATGCCATGGGCAGGGAAGGAAGAGTTGGAAGGAACCTTAAAGATCATCTAGTTCTAAACCCCCATGCCATGGGCAGGGATGCCACTCACTGCTAAATCACGTTGCTTAGAGCTCCATCCAGCCTGGCCTTGAACACTTCCAGAGATGGGGCAACCACATCTTTACTGAGACTCTTGTTGAGTGCTAATCTCTGAGTAAAGAATTCATTCCTAATATCTAATGTCAATCTCTCCTCTTTTCTTTATAACCACTGCCCCTTGTCCTGTCATTGTCTACCTGTGTAAAAAATTCTCTTGCTCTCTCCTGTAAGCCTCCTGTAAGTACTGAAAGGCTCAGTGAGGTCTCTCTGGAGCTTTCTTTCTCCAGGATGAAATAGCCCAGTCATCTCAGGCAGTTTCCATTGGAAAGCTGCTCCTACCCTGTGATTGTTTGTGGTGCTCCCCCAAACTGGCTCTAACAGGTCCATGGCTTTCCTGTGCTGGGGCCCCCAGAGCTGGAGCAGAGTGAAGGGGCAGAATCCTCTCCCTCACCTGCTGCCCACCCTGCTTTGGGTGCAGCCAGGATGGGCTCAGCCTTTGGGACAGCAGGCACACACTGAAGCACCGATGGATGTGGTGCAGGAAAAAGGCCTTTTCAATACAATAGTATTCTTTATATAGAAACATCAAGGGAATCTGAGTTGGTTTATTAAAAGAGAATTTGAGCACTGCCCAAGCTTTGATTTGGCAGAGCCAAGAATTTTGTTTTTTCATTATCATGAAAAAAGGCCAAACAAATTGTGGTTTTTTCCTTCCTGTTAGAAAACTGCATTTCTATGGTATGAAACTCCTTTCTTGCTGAAACCACACACAACTGCAAATTTCTTTAAGAGAGACAGCTAGAGGATTGGCCTTTGAGGGAATGTGTGTGTACACAAACCTGCATGTATTTTAATTTTTCTTTTTTTCAGAATAGATTTTCATGTAGCTCAGGTAACATAGTCTCTTGTAAAATGTCCTGAGCTTCCTAGACTTGTGGGTGATGAGGAATGTAATAGTCAGCTTACTCTTAAGCTACAGCTTTGAGTCATAACTGTTTCCCTCTTTAAGCAGATGTGCAAAGAGAAATCGCTATAGACTATCCAGACAGATCTCTCTTGACTCTCTAAAACAGCCTCAGCTGTTTTGGCCAGTGAAGAAAGGGATTAAAATAAGTATATTATGTGAGTACGTGTGGATTTTGTTTCTTTGGGAGGACTTTTTGATTGTTATTCCCATGGATTTTGCTGTTTGCAAGAATAATTGCAGATTTTTTTTTTTTTGCTGCACTGATACAGTCCTGAGGAGTGCAAGTTGTCTCCTGCTTGGTTTTCCTTCTGTTCTTGTCACATATAATTGCTGATCTGTACTGCTACCCTGCAGACATCAGTGTAATAGCTAAATTCAGTGTGATCTTTTTCTGAATTAAATATCACTTCAAAGAAAACTAAGGGGTCTGCTCAGCTTCTGGTTTGGATTGACTCATTTTGCCCACAGTTTTTTCCTGTTTCATCCCTTGGTATTTAGTGTGTGGGTGTGTACAAGGCAAGACTGTATCGAGTGCTGAGCTGTTAAGCAGCTGACAGAAGTAACTGCCTTTTGCTTGTCAGCCTTTCTGTAGAAAATATTGTCATGTGGGGAGGGGGTCTAGTTTTTTTGGAGACTTTTTTAAGGCACTATGAGGCCCTTGTGGATGAGAATAACAGTGATCTCATTATTCCAGCAAAAGTGTTCTAGTATTTGCTTGATTTAGTAACTGAGGAAAATAATTTAGGTAAATTTAGAGCAATTTGATAGTCTGTCATGCCAACTGGAAATGGTGGGTAGCAAAAATCAATTTATTCTTCTTTGTCTAATTAATTTTTAGTCTATTTTCACAAGTTTCTCTTTTTTCTTAATTCTGAGTTAGAACTTCCTTCTTGCAACAGGCTTGTTCAATAGAGTATGGAGCAAAAGCTGTGTATATGCACAAAGTCTGAGAATGAGTAGGGTGTGAGTTGAGTGTGCTGCATGTAGACTAAGGAAAAAAAACTTCATTGTATTCTGTGTGACTTGAATGGAAAAAACAGTGAAGGAAGTGTCTTTGTTATGGTAACTGCTGAGCTTTTTCCTCTCTTTTAAGAGCCTTTGTCAGTGAAATCGGGTGTGATTAATCCATCTTGTGAATGGAATTATGGCTATAAAAATGTCACAATTCAGAAATCTGGTTATCTAGCCAAGTCATTGTTTTTGTTTTGTGGCTTCAAAAATACGATTTCCAAACAACCTTGAATGAGGCTGTTAATATTCTCACTTTTCATGCTTCTCCCCTCCAGCCCTTCCCAATGTAGTTCTACTCACACCAGGTAAAAGCTGCTGCAGAGTTCTTTAACAAGCTTAGTCTGGACCAAGGATGTTGTTTTTTCTAAAATAGTTCTCTTAAGGATTTTTTTCCCCCTAAGCAAAGTATTTATCCCATTTCTAGCTTCCATTAATTCTTACAGAACTGCAAAACCTGCAAACACATTTTTAATTTTAATGCATACTGAGGTGTTTTGCTTGATGAAGTTGATTCTGAAGAACTAGGTTCTCCAAGATCCTGGTTGTGTGAACTAAAAGCTTTCTGAAGTTTGTCAGCTGGCAAACAAACAAAAGAATACTGAAATCCTTGACACCCCTGCATTTTTACCAGTGGAGTTGTCAGTTACTTCAAAGATCCAGACATGGGCCTGGAGCTGCAGCTTTCATGACAACTGAGTGGCCCAGATCTGTTGAGATCTTCAAAGCAGACATTGTTCTTTTTCTCTCATTTGAGGCCTGATCTAATTAGCTTTTCTGAAGTGTACCTATTGGAAATGGTCCTAAATGAAATACAGCCCCAGAAAACCAGGAAAAGTTAGGTAGATTGAACACAGTGTTTGAAAACAGTGCTGTTACAGGGTATAACACAAGCAGGTATGGTAAGTTTGGATGTGAGACTGTTTCTTTTTTAATTTCTGTATTTTTTGTGCAAAAGCCCCATTGGTCTCTGTAGGGATCAGAACTCTGCAGTATTGAGCACAGCATGGAAAGTGTCAACATTTCAAAATCTGTTCCACTTTCTTTTGTTGTATCTTATGTAAATTTTTACCTTCAGCTCCTTCCCTCACATTATCAGACCTGTTCCATACATTCTTTGTTCTTTTTCATTGATGATTTTCATTTTCCTGAAATACTAATGTTGTTTCCTGTGAAATGACAGTTGCTCATGTTTGTATTGCATTTCTTCTAGTATGTTTTGAACCTGGTGGTCTACAGCAATTAAAGTTCATAGATGTGTCAAAGATCTCTCAAAAGTTCATGGAAAGAGGTAGTTAGCAATGAAGGAATGGACTTACTACAGGAGAAGTTGGAATGTAGGTTTTTTTAGATTCAAGAAAACTTTCTGGGAATTCTCTCTATTAGATTCCAGAGGATTCCTTCACTGATTGCCCACAAACCATAGAAAGTGAGGTTTTGTTGCTGACAAGTATTTGTATTTTTTGGAGGATATTTGAATGTCTATAGATCATAATATATTTGTTTAAAATGATAATTTGTTTATAGACAAAATGTATTTTATTAAAAAGCTTGGATACCTTGCAGACCTAGGCTGTTGGGTCTGATGTTGTTTTCTGTGTCTTCAACGAGCCAGTGGTAGTTGAATAAAGGACAGTGCAATGTATCCTGATAAAATACTTGCTGGATGCTCCCCCAAATTGAAACAGTTACTGAC